GGTGCCGGGAGGCCCCAGGGTCACTGGTGGGGCCCACAGTTCTTGTTCCCCCTGATGTGTTTGCCCCTGAGAACGAACCTTCTCCAGACCCAGGCGACCTCAGCCACCTGGACCCTCGGCCTGGGTGCCTCAGGCTGCTCCCACGATGTCATAAAGATTTGGTTCTTGCTGAAACTGGTTTGGCTCAGTGGATAGAGCATCGGCCTGTGGACTGAAAGGTCCCAGGTTCGATTCCGGTCAAGGGCATGTACCTTGGTTGCGGCCGCATCCCCAGTGGGGGCTGTGCAGGAGGCAGCTGATTGATGTTTCTCTCTCATCAATGTTTCTAACTCTCTATTCCTCTCTCTTCCTCTCTGTAAAAAATCAATAAAATATTAAAAAAAAATAAAAGATTTGGGTCTTTGGTCGGCTTAAGGCCCCAGTGGTCTCTTTCCCGTATAGACATGGTGCCAAAGGGAGGCGCTGCCACCACGGGACCTTAGGATCCTGAACAAGCCTGACCCCAGCCCACTAGCTCAGAGTGCCCATGTGTAACTGTGGGGGAGGGGGACACAATACAGTTCATCACTCCCACACCCCCCTTCCCCCTTCTCACCTCCCCCTTGCCCCTCCCCCTGCCCGTCCAGCCTGTGGAGGCCAAGTTCCTCTTCCAGCCTGGCCACAGTCTCTCCCCCAGCACTTCCTGTTGGGGTGTCCTAGGCCCCGCCCCAGAGCTGGGCACTTCCCTCCCTGACACAGGGACCTGCACCCGCTCTGCTCGGCCAGAGGCAGATATGGCGTGTCTGCTGCTGCTGCTGCTGCCCCTGCTGTGGGGTGGTGAGTGTGCTCAGGGACGGGGGCTGGGATGTTGGGGGAGGTTCAGGGGCTGCATCTGAGCCTCTGTGTTTCCCTCCATCAGGGTCCCTGCAGGAGCAGCCAGGCTATGAGCTCCGAGTGCAGGATTCGGTGACGGTGCAGGAGGGTCTGTGTGTCCACGTGCCCTGCTCCTTCTCCTTCCCAAGGAGTTCGGTGACTTCCTCTGCCAAAGTCTTCACCTACTGGTACCGGGAAGGGGACAGAACACACCGTGATGCTCTTGTGGCCTCGACCAACCCATATAAACCAGTGAAGCTGGAGACCAAAGGCCGCTTCCTCCTCGCAGACCCCACGACCAACAACTGTTCCCTGCAAATCAGAGACGCCAGGTGGAGTGACACAGGACGCTACTACTTCCGAGTGGAGATAGGATATCCTGGATATGATATCCAAGGATATCCCCAAAGATATAACTTCCAAGGATATACTTACCAAGATAAGAAGCTGGATTTGCAGGTGACAGGTAAGGCAGGGGCCCCAGAGAGGACCCAGGGACATGAGACCCGGTCTTAGAGCAGGAACAGGACACTGGACACTCCTGTCCAGGCCTTGGGCCCTGGGTGATGGGAAGAGACACGGGGCCTGGGGTGAGCTCTGGCCAGAGGTGGGGTCTCTCTTAGGGACCCACTCTGAATCCTCACTCTGGAGCCCAGGCACCTGCCTTTCTCCCCCGCAGCCCTGACAGAGAAACCCCACATCCGTATTCTGGAGCCTCTGGAGTCCGGCCGCCCCACACAGCTGGCCTGCAGCCTTCCAGGGGCCTGCGAAGGGGGACGACCTCTCACCTCCTGGGCAGGAGCCGCTGTCGACTCATTGGACCCCCAGAACCTCAGCTCCTCAGTGCTCACCTTCACCCCGAGGCCCCAGGACCATGGCACCAACCTCACCTGTCAGGTCCAACTCCAAGGATCTTCGGTGGCCACACAGACAACCATCTGGCTCAATGTCTCCTGTGAGTGATGGAGGGGTGGCTGGGTCCCACAGGGCAGAGGGATCCAGAGGGAGGTCTAGTCCTGGGTTCCCTTTCTCAGAGGATTTTGCTGAAGTAAAACCCTCCCCCTCCCACATTGTGACCCCCGGGGCAAAGGGCAAATGCCCCCTCCTGTCAGCACATTTTCCCTCCCCAGATGCTCCTGTGTTGATGATCAGGCTTTCCCAGGGAAACAGCACAGGTAGGAGCCATTCCCTCCTCTCTGGGGATGAAGGGGGCGGGGCCTCTGCCAGCTCAGGCTCAGGGCCTGGAGGTGACACCCTCCTCCCTCACCCTGCAGCCCCCTGCGGTGGGTCTGTCCCCTGCTCCCTCACCAGCCTCTCACACCCACGGGGCCACCATAGCCTTTGGCTGCACCCTGTTCCCTTTTGGACATCTAAGTTTACTTTCCCTCGAGGCGAAGCACAAGCCACTTGCCATTTATCACCTCCCCCGTGTCTAAGGGGGTCGCTCAGCTTGGTTACCTCACCTGCAGGCTGTGCAGCCCACCTGCACAATCTCTCCCATCTGGGGGCACTCCCAGTCCCAGCCCCCAACCCCTGGCCACTGCTCACTTCCTGTCTCTACACAGTGACAACCCCAGGCTCTGCTTTGTCCTGTTCCTCTTTGTAGAATCCCCATCTGCCCTCCCTGCTCAGATCCCTGTCCTCCTTCATCTCTGATCCCGTCATTGTCTCCATGAGCCTGCCATGTTCCCATTCCTCACTTTCCTGGGCATGCTCAGTGCGTCCCAGGTCTCAGCCTAGGGTCTTGTCCCATCTTGACCATCCCTGATGCCCCCCACAGCTTTAGTCCAGCCACAGATCTGCATAAGTAGGCATCTCTCTCTCTCTCTCTCTCTCTCTCTCTCTCTCTCTCTCTCTCTCTCTTTTAAATTATCACCAGAGGGTATATTTCTATTTGTTTTCAGAGTGAATGGGAGGGAGGGGAAGACCACACACACACACACACACACACACACACACAGAGAGAGAGAGAGAGAGAGAGAGAGAGAGAGAGAGAGAGAGAGAGAGAGAGAGAGAGAGAGAGAGAGAGAGAGAGAGAGAGAGAGAGAGAGAGAGAGAGACATTGTGTGAGAGAGGATGAGAGAGACACATTGATGTGGGAGACACACATCAGTTAGTTGTCTCCATACCCCTCCTGGGGATGGAACCTGCAACTCAGGTGCCTGCCCTTGATTGGGAATCGAACCTGCAACCCAGTGCTCTAACCACTGAGTGACACTGGCCAGGACTCAATAGGCACCTCTTGCTGGTGCCTTTTGCCCCACTTAACCCCGTGTGGCCTGACTCACTCTAGATGACTCCCTCTCTCACCAGCCCTGCCCCATCAGCAACTGTAAGAAACCTCTCTTCTCACATCACTCCCTTCTTCTGCCTTCCCTGGTCCCCAGACCCCTTCCAGCCTTGTCCTAGAACTGGGGCCCCATGGCCTCAGCCTGCTCCTCAGCCTCCCTGCCTCCAGTCTCATCGCCTTGGTCTCGACCCCAGGCGCCCACCAGGATCTTTCTAGTCTGGGCACCGGCCCTCTGCCTCCCTGTGTACAGCTCCCTGCTGCTCTCTAGGGAGCCCAGGGCACAGCCCACTGCCCTCAGCGTGGCCCTCGAGGCACCAGACACTCTGACTCTGCCTCTTCACCACCATCATCAAGTTCCTGGTGCTTCTGGGCCTTCTGAGACTTTGCAGGTGTCTGTACATCTCCTCTCACCTGCCAGGCTGCCTCCATTCTTGAAGCATCTCCACCTGAGGGGCTGCCCACTTCTCTCATGTACACCCTGAGCTCAGTCCCCTTTGTCCTGGGAGCCGGGCCTGAGCAGCAGGGTCACTGTCTCTTGAGCCACCTTCTGTGTTCCTCTCCCCAGCCCTGAAGACTGTGAGCAACCACACGTCCCTGTCTGTCCTGGAGGGCCAGTCCCTGCTCCTGGTCTGCGAGGCTGACAGCAACCCCCCTGCCAAGCTGAGCTGGTCCCAGGAGGGGAGACCCCTGAGCCTGCCCCAGCCCTCAGCTCCCGGAGTCCTGGAGCTGCCCCATGTGGGGGCTGGAGACGGAGGGGAGTTCACCTGCCGGGCTCAGCACCCGCTGGGCTCCCAGCACATCTCCTTCAGCCTCTCTGTGCAGAGTGAGTTGCAGGACAGGTGTGGGTGCTGTGGGTGGACTGGGACCTGGACAACACATCACCCTTCTCCCGTCATCCCCAGGCAGCCCGCACTCCTGCAGATGTGTGACTGAGGAGCAGCAGGGCTCCTGGCCCTGGGTGATCACCCTGATCAGAGGGGCCCTCATGGGGGCTGGCTTCCTCCTCACCTACGTGCTCACCTGGCTCTACTACACCAGGTGAGCTGGCCTGTCTCTTCCGGGGAAGCTCAGTAATTGGCCCTGAGGTCCAGGTGGGGCCGTGCTGTCCGGCTCTGCCTGGAGTGGCCCAGTCTCTGACCTGACACCGGTGTTGGTTCCGCAGGAGTGGAAGCCCCTGAAACATGAGGCAGAGCTCCTGATGGATCCTCCCTTTGTCTCAAGACGGGACTGAGGTGTGGACACCAGGCTAGAGGGACCGTCCTGGAACGTCAATGTCACCTTCTCCCTGGAAGCTCTTTGCTCACCTGTCTCACATGAAACCCTTGGGTTTCATTTTGTGGAAGTGACTGAGTGACCACAAGGGGAGTCAATGCCATGGAGAGAAGACCTTTATTCCTTTTACCTCCTGAGAGGAGGGGCCCTCTGTGCCTGGGGAAGCCCTGGATTTCCTCAGGAAGCAGATGCAGGTGCAGGGCAGCCTAGCGAAGCCTTTATTGAGGTTTCCACGTGACCATTGATTTTGCTCTGTAATGTCGGTGGGAGTTTCTTGAGGCCAAATACATCTGGATCTCCTCTCTTTGTTGTTGCTGTTGTTGAACGTGTTTGAAGTAAGGATTTTGTGTATTCCTTGTCATTATTCATCAATTGGCATTTATATCTTTTCTTATTTAAAAAATGTTTTTATTAATTTGTGACAGGTAGTTGGAAGGAGAGAGAGAGATAGGAATATCAATGATGAGAGTCATGGATCACCTGTTTCCTCCTTTCTCCTACTGGGGATAAAGCTGTCACCCAGGCATGTGTCCTGACCTGGGCTCGAACCATGACCTCCTGGTTTATAAGTTTACATGACACTCAACTCCTGAGCCACCCGGGCTAGGCTACATGTATTCATGAATAATAAAAAAGTGCAATATTTAAAACAATTCGCCTCAGTCACACATCTGCTTTCAGGTATATAATATACTTCCCCCCCAACATTAAGTACAACTTTATTACCGTATATTTCCTAAGATCATTCATGGCACATTGCCCCTTAATCCCCAAATATGCAGTTAAAGGTGTTTTCAGAAATGACTATGAAACTGAGCTAAAATAATTTCAGAAGTCAAGTAGATCTTGGCCAGAGAGCTGCTTAATTTCTCATCTTCTATAAACAGCTTCACAAATCATTTGGAAAATCAGCCTATTATAGATGTACGCATAATAAACCACATTTCCTGTCCATTCTTGAAGTTGAACTTTCTCAAGAAATGATTGAACAGCACCTGTCTTTGAAGATGGCAGTAAGGCCTGACCCTAATAATCAAGCTCTGGTTCTGTGTTGGACTGGTCAGGAGTCACTTCCTCCAGCATCTTCATCAATGAACTTAAGTGATTATGCGTTAGTATTACCTTCTCTTTTAGCATTCCATTTTGTCACTGGAAAGGCAGAAGTGACCTTTCAATGCACCCAGGGCAGCATGGGTAGAATGCAGATGGAAACCAATGGGAATCTCACAGGAACTACAGAATAAAAGGTTGTAAGTGCTGCCTTTGAGTAAACCTTCGATGCCAACAAGGAAGGGAGCTTCCAGAACAACGTTATTTGTGACCCCGAGAGCGATGCTGCCGCGGCCGAGCAGCCATCTTCCGGCCGCTGCCGCAGCCACTGCCCCGCCTGGATTTCAAATGCCCGTCTCTCCACTTTGTATTATTATGTTCATATGTCTTACATTCATAAATTTGATAAGCTTTAGAGAACATTCATAACTACTTGGATGTAGACAATTAATTTATTTCCTGATTTATTGAGATAGTTTGTTAAACAGAATATATACAAGCTTAAAGTATGCAATGTGCATATTTGATACACTTACATAGTGAAGAGATTACCTCAAAAAGATTCATTAACATTTCCATCCTCTCATAACTCCATTGTTATGGTTATTATACTGATGATGTAAAACCATAACAGCTTTCAGGTATATAATACAATCCTCTTCATTGTAGTCATCATGCTGTCCAGTCATCCCCGGGAATTATTCATCTTGTAGCTGAAAGTTATTCTTAACTAACATCTCCCCATTTCCTCACCCCCAGCCCTTGCATCACCATTCTACTCTATTTATGTGAGTTCAGCTTCTTCAGATTCTACTGTGAGAACATACTCCAGGAAAACAATGACTACTTTAAAACGCAATCCTCACAGTTATGTTTCTCTCATGCAGTTCTAGGTTTCTATCACAAAATCACTTTCCTCTATGCAAAGAGGGACTCAACACGTATTACAGCCCTACATGTAATACCCACAATCATAGAACTCTTAGAGGATAACATAGGGGGAAACCACAAGACATTTATTTATTTGCAATGGTTTCTTGGATATTTACATGAAAATCACAGAACAGGGAAGCAAACATAGGCAAGTGGGACTGTGCCCAACTTCAAAACCTGAACACAAGAGGTCACTATCACCAGGCTCCAGAGGCCACCTGCAGAATGGGAGAGAAGATTGTATCTGTTAAGGAGTTAATATCCAGCATATATTACAAACTCATACAAGACAACATAAGAAACCCAAATAGCACAATTGAAGAGGGCCTAAAGCTTGAAGAGACATTTCTCCAAAGGTGATATATAAGTGGCCAGCAAAGTCACGAAGAGAAACACAGCATCAGCAATCCTACAGAACTAGAAATGGAAGCCCTGGCTGGGTAGCTCAGTTGGTTAGAGTGTCTTCCTGATATACCCAGTTTGCCAGTTCCGTCACAGTCAGGGCACATACAACAATCAACCAAGGAATGCAAAAGTCAATGACTGTCATGAGAGATCACCTCACACCCTTTAGGATGGCCACTATGAATAGAAACCACAGAAAATAACAAGTGCTGGTGAGCATGTGAAGGAACTGGAACCATTCTGCACCTTTGGTGGGATTGTAAGAGGGTTTACTGGCTACAAAAAACAACATGGCATTTCCTCAAAAAAATTAAAAATAGAATTGCCATACCATGTAACATCCCTTTTTAAGGATATATATCCAAAAGATCTGACAGAAGAACCTCAAAAAGACATTGGCACACTCATATTTGTAGCAGCATTATTCACAATAGTCAACATCTGTCAGCAACCCAATGTCCATCGGTGCATAAACGCATTAGAAAAGGTCATGGCCAGCTGGCATGGTTCAGTGTTTGAGTGTCGACCTAGGAACCATTCCATTCCTGGTTGTGGGATCCATTCTGAGTGTGGGGCACACCAGAGGTGTCTGATGAGTGATTCTCTCTCATTGTTGATGTTTCCATCTCTCATTCTCCCTTCCTCTCGGAAATCAATAAAAATATATTTGAAATAAAAGGTCAGATGTCTTAGGCTGTTCAGAATATTTTAACAAAAGACTATAGTCTGGTGATTTATAAATAGCAGGAATTTATTGGTCCAAGACCTGGAGGCTGGAAGTCTTTCTCTCCCCTAAACCTCCCTCTCTTCCACTCTCTCTAAATTCAATGAAAAAAAAAAAATCCTTGGGTGAGGATTAACAAAAATAACAAAACAAAACAAAAAAACAAACAAACAAAAACCAAACAGAAAGAAACAAAACAAAAACAAAAACAAAAACAAAAAAAGAGGGAAACATTTCAAATAAGACAACATAAGAAACCCAAATAGCACAATTGAAGAATGGGCTAAACCTTGAATAGACATTTCTCCAAAGATGGTGTCAAATGGCCAACAAAGTCATTAAAAGAGACTCAACATCAGTGATCCTAAAGGACTATAAGAGAACTCCTTAGACCTGTAGGAGTCTTGCTTGGTGTATCAGTGCATTAATATTCAAAGCCCCAAATCAGATTCCTACACAGAGAAGGAAGGAAGGGTGAAGGGGCATAGTAGGCCCGCGGTACAGAAAAAGATGGGTGAGGTGTAATGATACACAGCTCCAAAGGTCACTCACCCAAATTTTGCATTCATAATTTTATGTCAAAAGTTTCACCCCCACAAAAGTTTGGTCATTAGCTTATTTGGAATATACACAGGCACACACACACACACACACACACACACACACACACACACTTACACACACATTCACGCACACACACACACTCTCCTCTCCCTGGGATGAATTCTGTGGCCCTTCTTGAATGTGCAAATGGTTGCTTCCTTCCCCCAGTTCTTTCCTGTGGGTTGCTTTAGGATGGGCCTTGTGCTCTGAGGTGAGTCATCCCCTGGCCCCTTGTCTGTCTCTGAGGCCCATCTTGCCTGACACAGGTTATGGGGAAATTTCCCCTTCTGCTTTTCTGACTGTACCTTGTGGCTTGGAGGGATGGAGAGGAGGAGGAGGAGGAGGAGGAGGAGGAGGAGGAGGAGGAGAGAGAGAGAGAGAGAGAGAGAGAGAGAGAGAGAGAGAGAGAGAGAGAGAAATGTCAATCTGAGGGACAAACATAAATTCGTTGCCTCACATACTTGCCCTGAGCTGGTATGGAAACTGAGGTATGTGCCCTGACTTGGAATTGAACCTGTAACTAATTTGCTGTAGGGACGATGCTTCCATTATGGAACCATTGGCAAGGGCTATCTATTTCCACCTGAAATGTCCTCCCAAACAGATTTGTCTTTCCTCTAATAAGGAAGTTCATAGTATATCTTTGTGATGGGCATCTCTGACTATTTCAGGAACATCGTAAGTTTTGATGTGCCCATGGCCTCTTTCTAACAATCCTGTCTTTCCTTGCTCACTGTGCTGTATGGACGCATTTGAGTTTTGCAATTTGATTTTGTCCTAGAAGCCTTTCTGACTCTCTTCTGAAGCCCCTGCATGTATCTGAATGTATTTGTGGATTTTTCTATATAGACACACTCCTTGATGAAGAAAGTCAGCTTTCGTCTTTCAAATTTTCATAGTTTTTACTGATTGTGCTTGCCTTGCTGGACTCGGACCTGGTGCTGCTGTGTGAGGTGTGGTGCTTGCTGAGCACACCCTCTATCCCGCCAGGGGAGCCTCCTGCATCCCTAGCTGACTGTGAGTGTTATCCTGAAGGCTCCAAGGTCCCCACTCCTCCTTCTCCCCCTCCTCGCTCATTGGTTCCTCTCTTGAGATTCCATCAGTCAGGCCCAGAGAGGCACACAGAAGCCCCACCATGTGCTCCAGCAGCGGGAATGTGATGTCAGGGTTTGTTATGCCTGGGTTGGAGCACAAATGGAGCAGAAAGGGAGCACTTCTATGAGCCCGGGTGGGGCTCTGAACAGGCACCCAGCGATGAGGGGCCATGAAGGTTGAATTTCATTAGCTCTCAGGGGCAACGTTGCTGGGGTGCTGAGGTTTCCCCAAATGGGGCGTCCATTTCCGATGGAGTTTGTGCGCCCTCCCTGTCCCTCAGATCCTCGGACCCTTGAAGCCAACACAGGTGCATCCCATGTTCCCAAGAACCATCTGAGCAAAGGCCGTTAACACTCAGCTTTGCCCTGGGTTCCCCCCTCCCCTGCACTTGGGTCTAAATTCCTCTCTCTTTGCCAGCATTTAGTCTAAAAAAATATGAAAAATTATCCTTTTCCAGAATGTTCAACAGTTTCATCTGTAGGGTGGGTCCCCTTGAGTCACCAGGACCAGCTCCTTCTCCACTTCAACCTCCTCTGCAAGGGGATCACTTCCAGATTCACATTGGACAAGCCACTCCACCTCCTGGGACCTCAGTGCATTTACCTGCTGTGTCAGATGGGGAAGGGGAGACAGGATGATTTCTCAGCCACCTCACCCCCCAAGTCTTGTGGAGGCCAAGTTCCCCTTCCTTCTTGGCCACAGTCTCCCCCAGGACTTCCTGTTGGGGTGTCCTTAGCTCCACCCCAGAGCTGGGCACTTCCTTCCCTGACACAAGGACCTGGACCAGCTCTGCCAGGCCAGAGGCAGATATGGCGTGTTTGCTGCTGTTGCTGCTGCTGTTGCCCCTGCTTTGGGGGGGTGAGTGAGCCCAGGGAGGGGGGCTGGCCTGGTGGGGGAGGGGGAGAGGCTGCATCTGAGCCTCTGTGTCCCCCTCCATCAGGGTCCCTGCAGGAGCAGCCAGGCTATGAGCTCCGAGTGCAGGATTCGGTGACGGTGCAGGAGGGTCTGTGTGTCCACGTGCCCTGCTCCTTCTCCTACTGGAGGAGTTCGGGAACTTCCTCTGGCAAATTCTTCACCTACTGGTACCGGGAAGGGGACAGGACAAACCGTGGTGCTCCTGTGGCCTCGACGAACCCAGACAAACCAGTAAAGCAGGAGACCAAAGGCCGCTTCCTCCTCGCAGACCCCACTACCAACAACTGTTCCCTGCAAATCAGAGACGCCAGGAGGAGTGACTCAGGACGCTACGACTTCCGAGTGGAGATAGGATATCCTGGATATAATTTCCAAGGAAATCCCCAAAGATATAACTTACCAGGATATAGTTACCAAGATAAGAAGCTGGATTTGCAGGTGACAGGTAAGGCAGGGGCCCCAGAGAGGACCCAGGGTCATGGGACTCGGTCTTAGAGCAGAAACAGGATGCTGGACACTCCTGTCCAGGCCTTGGGCCCTGGGAAATGGGAAGAGACAGGGGGTATGGGGTATGTTCTGGCCCGAGATGGGGTCTCTCTCAGGGCCCCACTCTGAGTCCCCACCCCTGGAGCCCAGGCACCTGCCTATCTCCCCCGCAGCCCTGACAGAGAAACCCCACATCCATATTCCGGAGCCTCTGGAATCCGGCCACCCCACACAGCTCACCTGCAGCCTGCCAGGGGCCTGTGAAGGGGGACGACCTCTCACCTTCTCCTGGGAGGGAGCCGCTGTGGACTCACTGGACCCTCAGAACCTCCGCTCCTCAGTGCTCATCCCAAGGCCCCGGGACCATGGCACCAACCTCACCTGTCAGGTCCAAGTCCAAGGATTTTCGGTGCCCACACAGACAACCATCCGGCTCAATGTCTCCTGTGAGCGATGGAGGGGTGGGCTGGGTCCATGTGAGCAGTGTGGTGGTGTGCGTTTGTGTGTGTGTGTGTGGAGGCTGAGGTAACCTGAGAACACTCATGCATGGATCTGCATGTAGGTGGGGAGTGGGCCAGATGGACTGCTTCCCCCATTCCCTGTTCCCACTACTCCTCCTTGGGATTGGGGTGACTTCCATCTGAAGTGGGGCCCTGTCTTTCTCTCCCAGATGCTCCTCAGAACCTCACCATAGGCTTCTCGTTTGGAAACGACACAGGTAGGATAGAATCCCTCCTCTCTTGGCTGGGACCTGCCCGGTGCCCTGGTGGGGCAGAGGAGGGAGCAGGAGTTTGAATGGGATCAGACATGGGAAGGGCTAGGATGGAAGTCATCATCTCAGGACCCTATCTCTGGTAGGAGCCTCACCTGTGTTCCATCTCTCTCTCTCTCTCTCTCTCTCTCTCTCTCTCTCTCTCTCTCTCTCTCTCTCTTTCTCTCCCTCTCTTTCTTCCCCTCTCTTTCTCCTTCCCTCCCTCAAAATCTTTCTCCTCAAAGCCTTTAAGAATCTGCAAAACACATCCCTTTCCATCCTGGAGGGAAAGACCTTGAGGCTGCGCTGTATGGCTGACAGCAACCCCCCTGCCAATCTGAGCTGGTTCCAGGGGTCCCCAGGCCTGAACTCCACCCGCATCTCCACCACCGGGATCCTGGAGCTGCCTCACGTGTGGCCTGCACAGGAAGGAGAGTTCACCTGCCAAGCTCAGCACCCACTGGGCTCCCAAACTGTCTCTCTCAGCCTCTCTGTAGACTGTGAGTGTGGAGACCCCAGGGGGCAGGAGAGATGTGTTCTGGGGAGATGAGAGCCACCGCTGACCCCTTCTCCTCGCTCCCCACAGACCCCCCGCAGCTTCTAGGACCCTCCTGCTCCTGGGAGGACCAGGCTCTGTACTGCCGCTGCTCCGCCAGGGCCCAGCCGGCCCCCTCCCTGCGCTGGAGGCTGGACAAGGGACTGCTGGAGGGGAACCACGGCAATGCCTCTCATGTGGTCACCTCCAGCTCAGTGGGGCCCTGGACCAACAGCTCCCTGATCCTCCGTGTGGGTCTCAGTGAGGGACTCAGACTCAGCTGTGAGGCCTCGAATATGCATGGGGACCAGAGCGCCTCTCTCTTGCTGCTGCCAGGTCAGGGGTCTTATTGGGGGCAGAATCTTTGGGTGAAAGGAGTGGGTCAAGTAGAACGTGGAGCTGGGGGAGAAGGGCTGTGGCTTGGGCAGGAGGGATTGCTAGGACAGGACCCTCCAACTCTTACTCCCCCCTTCCCCCCAAATATTTTTATTGATTCCAGAAAGGGAGAGGGAGAGAGAGATAGAAACATCCATGATGAGAGTGAATCATTGATCGGCTGCCTCCTGTATGCCCCCCCACTGAGGATCCAGCCCACCACATGTGCCCTTGACCAGCGATCCAACCAGGATCTCCTGGTTCATAGGTCGACGCTCATCCACTGAGCTAAGCCAGGCTCTGGTTGAGCAGAACCTACAGCGGGTTCTGGGAGGAAGAGGGAAGAGGAGAGACCGAGTCCTGGGAGTGGGTGTCTCATGCCCCTCTCCTCTGCAGGGAAGGTGGTGTCCCAGGCAGGAGTGGTTCCTGCAGCTCTTGGAGGTGCTGGTGCCATGGCCCTGCTGTCCCTGTGCTTGTGTCTCATCTTCTTTTGCATGTAAGCCTCTGTGGGGGGAGCCGTGTCATGGGGGTTTGGAAAAGGTCATGGAATTTCACCAACACAAAGCTTAGTATCTCCAGGGGGGAGGTGGAGAGGGGAAACTGCTTTATGGAGGTAAAACTCCGATGTATTTAAAGTGTACAGTTCAATGGCTTTTACTTCAATCACACAGCTGTGCACCCATCACCACAGTCACAGTTTGAAACGTTTTCATTAGCCTGAAAAAGAAAAAAAAAAAAGAGATAGAAACTCATAATCCTGTATTTTCATCCTCCTCTACCTCCCCCAACCCCAGGCAACCAGTATTTCTTGTTTCTCTAGATTTGGCCATTCTGACATTTCATAGAAATGCAATGATATAATACATGTTTATTGTGACTGACCTCTTTCATGTAGCCTGAGATTTTCAAGGTTCATGTGTCAGCACTTTATTCCTTTTTATTTACAAATACACTGAGTGGCCAGATTATTGTGTTCTTTGCACACATTAAGGTGGCCACTTAGTGTGTGTGTGTGTGTGTGTGTGTTAGAGGCCCAGTGCATGAATTTGTGCACAGGTGATGTTCGGCCAGCCTGGCCAGGAGGAGGGGACAAGGGTGGTTGGCCGGCCTGCCTGCTGGTGGAAATCCTGGTGGAGGGAACAATTTTCATAGTAGCTTTTCATTATATAGGATATAAACTGAGTGGCCAGATTATTATGTGTTCAGAGATCATCATAATCTGGCCAGTCTGTGTATATTCCATGATATGGATGGAGCATATTTTATTGTCCATTCCTTCACTGATGGACATTTGGGTCCCTTGGACTTTTTGGTTACCATGAATTACACTGATGATGGCTCATGCACAAGTCTCTGCATGTGAGAGGGGCCTTGGTGATGAACATTCAGTCTTGGCCAAGCGCCTGGATATTTCAGGGGGATGAGGTCCTCACCTGCATGTCAGGAGTGTTTCCGTGTCTGGTCTCAGGGTCTGGATGCCTCTGTTGTCCATCAGGGAGTGAGACAGCTGCCCACCTGTGCCTGAGCCATTCTAGCTGCTGACTTCTTCCCTTAGAGTGAAAGCCCGAAGGAGGCAAGCCTCTGGGAGACCAAAGGTGACGAATGATGAAGACCCGGTCATGGGCACCTGGGTGAGTAACATGGGTGTCTTCTTATGTCGTGTAGGGGGCCCTGGGCATATCCATTCAAGAAGTCCACACTGAGCTTCTCTGCATTTCACCACACCCGCTTTTCTGTGGTCAGCTGAACAGGCAGCTGGGAGTTGACTTCCCCTTTATTTCCCGGAACCCATGATCAGCCTCCTGCCCCAGCCACACTGACCACTGAGCCCACCTCACCTCTCTGATAGGCCCAGGCTACCAGAACCACCTCCCTAAAACGTGTACTTTTTACCCATAGTGGGCATGTTCCTTCACCTCCCTTTACAGCAGATTCTCTATCTGTAAGTGGGGATAACTAGAGTATCATGCTTACTGGGTTTCTGAGGGAATGAAATATGATTAGTAGGCCTTTGATATGGTCTAACCAACATCTGCAATAATCTAAAAAAAAAGAAAAAGAAAAAACAGGCTTGAGCTGGAAGGAGTATGGTCTTCGAGATGCAAGTCCACCATTCTCCTAGGTTGCAGTGCCTGAATAAGTCTCTTTCATTTCACACCCAAAGAACGAATCCCCCAAAAAACAAGCAAAAGAAATGTTTTTAATGAATGAGCAAATAGTCGAGTCTATGAGAAGTGTATGTGCCATAAGAAGATGAATGGTCAAACTGTTCCACCAGCCCAACTTTTCTTTGGGACCATGTCTGCCTCATTCCTCTCTGACGCCCTTCCTTCCTCTTCACTCAGGGTTCCAAGAAAACTCTGAAGCCAGATGGGCCCCCAGACCAAGCGTCACCTGCAGAGAAGGGCCCTGTGTCAGGGGAGCAACAGGAGCTCCACTATGCCAACCTCACCTTTGAAGGCATGAAGCCACGGGAGCCCCGGGACCAGGAGGCCACCATCACCCACGAGTACTCAGAGATCAAGCACACAGGCAAATGAGGACTCGCTCCGAGCTCAGTCCTGGCCAGAGGCACCACAGCCTCTTGTGAAGGGGAAAGAAGTCCAGGACTCATGGCTGAAGCATGAGGAGACCTTGGGGCCTGTTTAACATGAACAGGTGAATGAGCATCCCCAGGCAGAGCAGAAAGAAGACGGGTGATGGGCCGGCTCTCTCCAGCTCACCTGCACCTGTGTTTCAGGTGAGCTGCACCATGACGTTGTCTCTCACCCTCCCGCTCCCTCCAGAATGTCACTTCCTGGATTCTGGCATATTGTCTAAGGTGGTCTGGGTTTGCTAATAAATCCCGTCTTCTCTTGGTGCTATGGGTGGCTGTCTCCCAGATTGTACCCCAACTGACGAGCAATGACATATTACGCAGACCACATGTTAGTCTCCTCCTCCAGGTGTATTTCCCGTCGCCTGTAGCAGGTGGGTCACTACAATCCCATCAAGGACTGAGGGAATTCAAAACCAGGCTTCTGGCCCTATTGCGGCTCATCTATTTTTTAGTCTTAACCACAAGATGACGATGTTTATGGGGGAGCCTCCGCCTTGGCAAGACCTCTTTTTGGGCCCCATGAGATTCTTCCTTTTTTTCTTCTTCCACCTTTTTATTGATTTCAGAGAGGAAGGGAGAGAGAGAGAGAGATAGAAACATCAATGATGAGAGAGAATCATTGGTCCTATGCCTCCTTCGTGCCCCCTTCCAGAGACTAAGATTGTAACATGGTATATGCCCTTGATGTGAATCAAATCTAGGACCCTTCAGTCCTCAATCCCATGCTATATCTGCTGAGCCAAACTGTCTATGCCTCCATGAGATTCTTGAATCTAGCTTCTCTGTGACTACTCAGAGTCAGCAATCTATTTGAATAAAAAAGTGGCTCCAAATACTTGTCTCATTGCTGTTGACTTCTTGCTTCTTCCATCTTCACTGTGTGAATTTTCTTTTTGTTGACTCCAAACATTAAAAAAAAAATTTATCCATCTTTCCAAGTCTTCCCACCCCCCAACTTGGCCTACCTTGCTCTGTTCTTAAGGACAACTATCTCATGCTGTGGTCCACTAGGGACACAGAACCATTCCACACTCTGAATATTTAAACTTTATGTAGAATAAATTAAAATTTAGAATTTATTTGCGTGACCTACCAGCTCCACATACAATTTCTCAACACAACTTCTGCTATTTCTTCTTCACTTCAGCTGACAGCATGGACTTGGAATTCTTCCAGGCACAGATAAGGCTCACTGATCACGTTTTGCATTGTGCAGAGTTCTTTGACAGTACCAGAAATGGTTTAAAAGCACAATAATAAGGAGGAAGTAAGGGAAGGGGAGGAGTCTGACAGATTTTCTGGAAGGGGTGAGGGACAAAGGACCCAATGACCTCTAGAAATGCATGTGTATGTGTAGCTGTCTCCTCTTCGCTAGGATGAAGGTGGTTCCAGGGGGAGACTCAGGAGGAGTTTGGCTGCACATCTGTCTCAAAGGACGGAATGTCACCAGCCTCATTCCTCAGCCTTACCTCCACAGGAGACAGAGCAAGGCTTGACCTCCAGGGGGCGATCCATCCAGCTGGGGAGCTGTTGTTCAGAGGGCTGGCGCTGTCCATGGTTCTGGAGCACACCTAGGTTCAGCTCTGCCAAGGTCCCAAACTCACAAGGCCGAGGTCTCCAGCCTTAGGCCATCAGGGCACCTAAGCCCGAGGGGCTTTGGAAAGGCTGGGTTCCTCTTGGGAAGGAAAAGTCAGGAGAAGGGGTGGGAGTGGGCTGGGCTCATCTCTGTGCTTTTTCTCTCACCTCTCTGGTTGCCTTATTGTTTTGAACTAAGATTCCATTTAGCATTTGCCACCAAAATGTCCCCAAAAGAGGAAGTTCCCCCAATGAATTGCTACATGTCTTAGGGGATCTACTAAGTAGGTCAGGCCACCACTAGGAATTAAAATATCAGTGTGACCTAAAGAGAAGTGTAATGTTGGTGGAAGGCAAGGCCAGTAAAGGAGAAGCAGGGACCTGGGGAGGAAGCCGGGCCTGAAGAGGAAGAATGGGCCCTAGCTAGTTTTGCTCAATGGATAGAGTCTTGGTCTGGGGACTGAGGAGTCCTAGGTTTGATTGCAGTCAAGGGCATGTGCCTGGGTTGCAGGTTCCATCCCCAGTTGGAGGTGTGCAGGTGACAGCCAATCGATGATTCTCTCTCATCATTGATGTTTCTATCTCTCTCCTTCTCCCTTACTCTCTGAAATAATAAATATATATTTTTTAAAAAGAGGAAGAATGGGAAGACACAGATAATAACAAGAAGAAATATTGATCATATGCATTTATTGTGCATAGGCTGGAAAGATTGTTAGCTGTTTGCATGTTTTCTCACTGGCACCAGCAATATGGGAATTCACCTAACACAGTAAACCCTATTTGAAGGGAGGTGACGCTTTTGAAACATTCATAAATACATTTGAACATTTGCCTTGGATGTGCATTATGCTAGGTGCTGGAGATTTCAAATGACCTAAGAAGCGCTGGTCAGGCTAAGTTGGTGGGAACATCGTTCTCTGTATAAAAAGGTTAAGGGTTTAATTCCCAATTGGTGAATATACCTAGGTTTGGGGTTTTATAACCCAGTTGGGCCATGCATAGGAGGTAACCAATTGCTGTTTCTTTCTCAGATCAATGCCTCAATCTCTCTCTCTCCCTCATTTCTCCCTAAAAACCTACATAAAATCTAAAGAACAAAATAACTGATTAACAAAATAGGACCAGAGGAATGGATAAATGGAACAAAATGACAGAACTCAGAAGGTAGGAGGGCAGAGAGGAAGTAAAGAGATCAACCGAAGCCCACTGGTTGGCCAACTCATTAGTCAACAGAGCCAAATATCAACAGTACAATGATTGAAATTTCTTTGAGAGCCAAATTTTGAAACTTAAACTATATAGGTAGGCACATTGTTATTCACTTAATTAAGGTACTTCTACGCTGGCCTTTGCTAAACATTCAATGGGCCAAAGAGCTGCGTGTGGCTTTAGAGTGGCAGTTTTCCAACCACTGGCCTAGCCCATAGACACAGAAAATAATGTGTGGAAGCCCTAGGGAGATGGGTGTAGGGTGTAGGGAGGCAAGGGGGGAGGGGTCATCTGGAATAGAGTCAACATTAAAAAAAAAAAAAAAGCTTATCCTCAGGTGAGTCAGCCATACTATAAAGGAACATTGAAGACACAGGTTTGTTATAATGGTTCTCCTCCTTTTCCACCAGTTGCGCTTTCTGTGGTTTCTGTAACCCGTGGTCAACCATGGTCCGATAATAATGTCAGGCACTTATAATCAAAATAATTTATTGTTCATTGCAGAAATAAACAATTCATGAATTTTGAAATGTTCTGAATTGTATGATGATTCTCATGCTCCCTGTCTGTCCTAATAAAAGATAAACCAGGCCTTTGTGTGGTGTCTTCATTATGTATATACCACCCACTTGTTAGTCACTGAGTAGCTGTCCAGATTATCTGATCAGCTGTCCTGACGTTGTGGTGCTTGTGTGGAAGTCACGATTATAGTAGCCCAAGGCTACAGCACAATCCCTACATCAATCACCGCCCTCTAGCCCATCATGGAGGCATGGTGTGTCATCTCACATCAGTGCAGGCAGGAGGGTGAGTACAGTACCAGGAGATATTTGGAGAGAGGAGAGACCTCATTGACATAACCTTCATTACAGCATATTTGTTATAAATTTTCTATTATATTATTCGTTGTTATTGTTCACATCTAATTTACACATCAAAATCTATTTTTGGTTTGTATAAGGAAAAATTATACTATATATAAGGTTGGGTACCATCTGCGGTTTAAAGCATCCATTGGGGATCTTGGGGTATATCTCCCGGGAAGAAGGGGGTCAATTGTACTTACAAGTCCTGGAGGACACAAAACACACCGAGGGCCCCTCAGAAGGTAGAGAGACAGAGAGGACGTAGAGTTCAGCCTCTGTTGGGGTGGAGGTTGTGGTGCTTAGGGTGTTGCAGGTTCTCTATTGGTGGACTTCAAACATAGGAGCAGGAATTCAAGTTCAGGAAGGGAAAAGCAGGGTCACTCAAATGGTGTTATCTAGGCCAGTGTTTTGCAACCTTTTTTGGGCAAAGGCACACTTGTTTCATGAAAAAAATCACGAGGCACACCACCATTAGAAAATGTTAAAAAATTTAACTCTGTGCCTATATTGACTATATATAAAGTAATTCTCTTGAATAGGAATCAAATAAACACAAAGGAAGTATTTTATAATTACTTTATTATGAAATATTAAGTAAACAAAATAGTGAAAAATTATAAAATTCTTGTCTTGTCTGCACCTACGGCACACCAGGCAACATCTCGCGGCACACTAGTGTGCCGCGGAACAGCAGTTGAAAAACGCTGATCTAGGCCACCCAGAGCTTTCTCAAAGGGAACTTCATGCCATAGCCAGTTGGCCTCATTGGATAGATTTTCGGCCCAGAGACTAAAGGGTCCTGGGTTCACCTGTGGTCAAGGGCAGCTACCTTGGTTGCAGGTTCCCTGTCCCTGCTAGGGGTGTGAGAGGCAATCCATCGCTGTGTCTCTCTCACATTGATGTTTCCCTCTGTCTCTCCATTTCCCTTCCACTCTCTCTAAAAAAATCAATGGAAAGCTATCCTCAGGTGAGGGTTAACAAAGAACAATGAAAAAGCGAACTTCATTGGAGGGGCAACCTGGCTATTTGTCTAGTTGGCAATATGGATGCCTTGGCAACCAATAGCTTAATGTCAGGCACTTACAATCAAAAGAATTTATTGTGCCTTGCCCAGTGTGGCTCAGTTGGTTGCGGCATTGTCTCTAGTACACCAGAAGGTTGGGGGTTCGATTTCTGGTCAAGGCACATACTTAAGTTTCAACTTAGATTCTCAGTCGGGGCATGTATGGAAGACAACCAACTGATGTTTGTCTCTCACATCAATGTTTCTCTCTCTCTCTGTGTCTTCCTATCTTCCCCTCTTTATAAAAAAATCAATGAAATCTCCTTGGATGAGGACTAAAAAATGTTTATTGTTAGGCACTTATGCTAGCTACAGTATCACTGGTGAATTTTGGCTGCATTTATTTTAGAACTTTCTTTAAAAAAATTAATTAGTTCAACTACTGAGGAGAAAGAATACCCACTCGTTCTTCAGTCCACCTTCCCAATTCAAGTCTGTCCAAGCACTCAGGTTTGAAGACATGCAGGTGTGCGCCAGATGAAAGCAAGCAAGGAGGCGTGGCCTCCATGCTATAGGTCTCAAATGTCAACAATTTCTGTAGGAACCGGCATGGAGGATTTAAGGAAAAAGGCCATGGGGAGAGGCTGGGTGAGTAGATAAATGCCAGGGGAAGGTGCCTGTGATGTATGGTCTAAATGGAGGGAGCCAGGAAGGGGAGTGTGGGGGAGAGAGTCAGGGTCAGCTCTCTGGCTTGTCCAAATGTGCCACCCACACAGGAATCGGGACGACCTGTGGGAGGCGTTGTCTTGGGCCCCTGCAGAGCTGAGAGCCCTACAGGAAACACTCTATGGTTAAAACAGAGCTCCATGGTCCTTTCAGCCCCGCCCCTTAACTTCCCCTTCCCCTCTGAAAAGGGCTTCCTTCCAGCTTCTCCGTTGCTCGATGTGTGCACATGGCTCGCCATAGCAAGGCAAACCCTTTCTTTTTGCCTGAATAAGTCTTTTTGTAAGAGGCACCTCCCACCAACACCAGACAGGTTAGCGGACGGTCCCCCCAGTCAGTGTTCCTGACTTGCATCCATGTCTCCTGGTGCAAATGAATTTGTTCCAAAGACTGCATTGTGAAAAGCTGATTTATTAAAGCATTTATAGCATGCACATTCATTGAAAAGGCAAAGCATGCAAACCTATCTCATTTTATCGGGCTTGGAGCACAGATGGGCTTTTCTGGCTAATTTAGAAAAGGGAGCCGGTCTGAGGCTTTGTACACCCTCCTGTCTATAGGTTTCAAAATTCCGTGGCTGACTATTTTGGTACAGATGCATTCTCAAAGTCCCCCTTTCACATTGTAGTGGCCTTCCCAGAATTCATTAGAAGGACTAACAGGTTTATCTTCCAAGCCTTGAGACTGCAGGCTTCTTAAATAGTAATACTATCCTTCTTTTTCTTTTCCATTCCCCGCTCTCTTTCTGCATGTGCTCTTTAGGAAGACTTTTAACCATTTTCGCTGGTGTGTTTGGCTGGAGAAGATAATGGCTTGTTAGTTAAAAGCTGGCTGCAAATTGCTCACAATGTTTGGCCTTCTTTAAAATTTCTGCCTCAGCCGAGATCGGTTTGGCTCAGTGGATAGAGTGTCGGCTTGGGGACTGGGAGGTCCCGGGTTCGATTCTGGTCAAGGGCATGTACCTTGGTTGCGGGCACATCCCCAGTAGGGGGTGTGCAAGAGGCAGCTGATCGATGACTCTCATCGATGTTTCTAACTCTCTATCTCTCTCCCTTCCTCTCTGTACAAAATCAATAAAATATATTAAAAAAAATAAAATTTCTGCCTCAGTTTCCTATTTCATCCTGCCCTGGAATCCTGTACCATTTTTGGTGATATAATACCTCGTCAGATTTGGGTATGGTCCCCAAACTGTTGGCAAGATCCCTGTGGGTCCCTTAAACGGAATAAGAAAGGGCCTGGTGGTCAGTAGGTGCTGGGAGAATGAACAGGTAAAAGTGAGGCGAGATGATCCCAGAGAAGTGATAAGAAACAATTTCATGAACCGAATTCCAAGTCAGGAGGCTTTGAAGCATTCTGGGATGAAAAAATGGCACCAACAAGCTATCCCCCTCTCCACTGTGCCCGGTCACGACTGGCTTCAGGAGCCCTTGCCAGCAGGACCTTCCTGTTCAAAAAGAGACCAGCCAGTCCTGGGCACACATCTGTGACAAAACCTCTGTTGGTGGATGTTCATGTTCCAGTATATTTAATGCACACAACCAGCCTTGAGCACAATGCATGGCCACTGCATAGAATGGGACACTGAGCAACAGACAAATGAGGTGAATCGCCACCTGATGACCCTGCCTTGATGGTGGTTGCCAGCCTTTCGAACCTCATGGACCACCAGTGGGTGACCACTGCCTTAGGATTTGCCAAAGCCTGTCTTTGAAACCACATCTCTGTTATCCCGTCACCTGTCTTCTTTCTGCTCTGCTCATACAGTAGTTAATGATAATCGTGCCACAAGGTCGATTAGTCCTGGATTTCTTTCCCACAGAGGATCTGCAGTGCCTCTGGCCAGGACCGAGCTCTGAGGGAGTTCTCATGTGCTTGTCTTCTAGATCTCTGAGTACTCATTGATGCTGCTGTTAGCATCCGGGTCCTCAGGTCCCTGTGGCTTCATGCCGTGAAAGCTGAGGTTGCCGTAGTAGACTTCCCACTGTTCCTCTGACAGAGGGGGATCCTCTGTGGGCAACCCTTGGTTTGGGGGCTTGTCTAGCCCAAGGTTTCGCTTGGAACCCTGAGTGAAGGAGAGAGTAGGGAGTCAGAGGAGTATAAGACAGCCTGGTCCTTATAGAACAGTTTTCCAGTCATCCTCTTATTCCACACACATGTCTTATAAACTCAAGTATTTACCCATTTAGTTAAATTCTGTAGTACTACAAATGATTAGACCATATGGAGGCCCTACTGATCATATTTCATCCTCAGAGAAACCCAGTAAGGATGATATCCTTATTCCCATTTCCAGATGGGGAAACTGAGGTGAAGGAACATGCCCACAATGGATGGAAAGTAATAGTTTTGGGGAGAAAGTTCTGGCAGCCTGGACCTATCAGAGAGGTGAGGTGGGCTCAGTGATCAGCAGGCCTGAGGCAGGAGGCTGACCATGGGTTCTGGGAAATGAAGGGGAGAAGTCAACTCTCTGCTGCCTGTCCATCTGGCCACAGAGGAGCGGGTGAGGGGGAATGTGGAGGAGTTCAGTGTGGAATCCTTGAATGGGCATGCCCAGCCCCCGTACACGGCATGAGAAGACATCCACGTCACTCACCCAGGTGACTGTGCTCATGACAGGGTCTTCATCATCCGTGACCTTCGGTCTCCCGGCTGCTTGCCTCCTGAGGGCTTTCACTCTAAGGGAAGAAGTCAGCAGTTAGAATGGCTCAAGCATAGGTGGTCAGCTGCCCTCACTCCCTGACCGACAACAGAGGCATCCAGATCCTGAGGCCAGACTCAGAGACACTCCTGAGATGCAGGTGAGGACCCTGTACCCTGGATGGCTTAGGAGTTTGGCCAAGAAGGAATGTCCATCACCAAGATCCCTTTCACACAAATAGACTTGTACACGAGTCATCATCAGTGTAATTCATGGTAGCCAAAAAAGTAGAAGCAACCCAAATGTCCATCAGTGGAGGAATGGACAGGTAAAATGTGCCCCATTCATATTATGGAATATCCGTACTAATAAGTAACATGCTAATTAGACCGGATGTCTTCTGGACGTCTGTCCAGACAGCAGCAGCTGCTACGAGTGTCTGTGTCCCGGGAGAGGTGGCGGTGTGGGCTGGTCCAGCACCACAGCCCTTTCTGCAGAGGCTGTGGGAGAGGGGGCTCTGAGGTCCCGGTCCCAGTGTTGCCTCTTCTGCAGAGGAAGCCACAGAGGCAGCTGTCTGGGCCAGTTCTGACCCTATGTCTTTGCAGAGGCTGGACAATGTGCAACCTGCTGTGCCTCCACCTCCCAAAGCCCCTCCCCGAGATGGCATGGCCTGGCCCCAGATTGCTGGTGGGGCCAGTACTAAGAAGCCAGGGCCGAGGGCCTGCAGCCGTGGTGGCCTGCTGTGGCACCAGCAGTGGGGTGTTGTGTTGGTGCCTTCCCCTGATTGGCCCAGTTGGATATCAGTAGGCCATCTCCTGAGGCATCTGGACTGTGAGAAGGGGCAGGCTGGGCTGAGGGACCCTGTGACCCTGTGCACAAATATTCATGTTATGGGCTTTTATTAGCCTATCTAATAAAGAGGGAATATGCTAATTGACTGTCACACCCTCACAAAGATGGTGGCACCCCACAGCCAATAAGAAGTGAATATGCTCATTGACTGCCATGCCTTCAAAGATGGCAGCACTCACAGCCACAAGATGGTGGCTCCCAGACCCCTCAGCCCTGCCAGGACAGCAGGTGTGTGGCAGGACTGGTCCTGCCCCTGGAGCCCCCCAGTTCCCTGAGCCCCCCATTTACCTAGGGCTGGCCCAAGGCACAGGCAAGCCTTAGATGGTAGCTGCCCAGCCACCCAGGACCCCCGTGGCTCAGGTAACCAGGGCCGGCTGACGCTGGTGCTGTTGGCAGTGGCAGCAGCAGAGGTGTGATGAAGGCATCACCTTCCACTGATTGCCAGATCACTTCCCACCCCTGGGAGCTCCGAGACTGAGAGGGACAGGCCAGGTTTAGGGACCCTCGTTCCAGTGCATGAATTTTCATGTACCAGGCTTCTATTGATAGTTTATAAATAAAAAGCAATACAGTGCTGACATATGAATCTTAAAAATCTCAGGCTATGTGAATGAAATTGGTCACAAAAAATATGTATCCTATATTTGCATTTATATGAAAGATCAAAATGGGCAAGTCTAGAGAAACAAGAAATAGTGGTTGCCTAGAGCTGGGGGAGGATGGAGTTGGATAACTATTAATGGATGTGGAATTTCTATTTTATTTTACTTTTTAAGTCCTCACATGAGGATATTTTTTCCCCATTGATTTTTAGAGAAAATAGAAGTGAGGGAGGATGGGAAGAGATGGAAAAGAGAAATAATGAAATGTTGATGTGAGAGAGACACATGAATTGGTTGTCTCATGCATATGCTCAAACCAGGGCCAGGGAACAAAACTACAATGCAGGAAATGCCCTTGATCAGAAATCAACACCCAGGATTCTTTGCTCACAGTCTGACACTCTAACCACTGAGAAACACCTGCCAGGGCTAGCGTTTCTTTGTTTTCATTTTGAGCCAATGAAAAAACTCTTTGAAATTGATTGTGGTGTTGGGGGTACAGCTCTGAGACTGAACTAAGGTCACTGAGCTGAACACTTCAAAGACATGGAAATGTTACCGTAAAAAAGTGGCTACTCCTCACTCCGCAAAAATGTCCCCTTTTGACGTACTAAGCTCTGTTTTTGCAAAATTCAACGACATCTCTCGGCACTCCCTACCACACAGCTCCCTGCACCTCCCCGGCACAGAGGCTTACCTGCAGAAGGAGATGAGACACAAGCACAGGGACAGCAGGGCCAGGGCTCCAGCACCTCCAAGAGCCACTCCCACCTGGAAAACTGATTTCTCTGCAGAGAAGAGGGGCATGAGACACCCACTCCCAAGACTCGGTCTCTCCTCTTCCCACCTCCAGCCATAACCCACTGCAGGTTCATTCAGGCAGGAGATGCAGGCCCTGTGCCAGCAGTAACTCCTGTCCAGGCCACAGCCCCCTCCCCAAGCTCCACCTGCTCTCTGACCCACTCCTTTCTCCGTGATAGCCTCTGCCCCCAGCAGGCCCTGACCTGGCAGCAGCAGGATCGAGGCCCTGTGGGCCCCGTGCACATTCTGGGCTTCGCAGCTGAGCCTGAGCTCAGGGCTGAGCCCCTCACGGAGGCTCAGGGAGCTGTTGGTCCAGGGCCCCTCTGAGCTGGAGGTGACCACGTGGGTGGCATTGCCATGGTTCCCCTCCAGCAGCCCCGCCCCCAGCCTCCAGTGCAAGGAGGGGGCCGGCTGGGCCCTGGCAGAGCAGCTGCAGTGCAGACCCTGGTCCTCCCAGAAGCAGAAGGGTCCCAGCAGCTGTGGGGGATCTGTGGGAAGTAAGGAAAATGGTCAGCGGTGGCTTTAATCTCTCCAGAACCCACCTGTCCTGTCCCCTAGGGTCTCCCCACTCACAGATCACGAAGAGGCTGAGAGAGACATTTTGGGAGCCCAGTGGGTGCTGAGCTTGGCAGGTGAAGTTCCCTTCCTGTGCTGGCCCCACACGAGGCAGCTCCAGGATGGCGGTCCTGGAGATGGGGGTGGCGTTCAGTCCTGGGGACCCCCAGAACCAGCTCAGCTCGGCAGGGGGGTTGCTGTCAGCCACACAGAGCAGCCTTAGGGCCTCTCCTTCCAGGATGGTAAGGGAAGTGGCCTGCAGAATCTTGAAGGCTTTGGGTAGAGAAATGAAGACAAGGAGAGGGAGAGGGACTTGGGGTAGGGGCAGTGGAACACAGGAATAGGCACCTACCAAGAGGATGTAAGCAAGGAAGCTCTAATTTAAAAAAAATATATATATATACTTTATTGATTTTTTACAGAGAGGAAAGGAGATGGATAGAGAGCTAGAAACATCGATGAGAGAGAAACATTGATGAGAGAGAAAAATCGACCAGCTGCCTCCTGCACACCCCCTACCAGGGATGTGCCCACAACCAAGGTACATGCCCTTGACTGGAATTGAACCTGGGACCCTTCAGTCCACCGTTCGATGCTCTATCCACTGAGCCAAACCGGTTTTGGCAGAAGCTCTAATTTTAGTCCTTGCCCTTCCAAGTCTGGTCCCATTCAAACTCAGATTCCCCCCTCTGCTCCACCATGGTCAGGAGGATATTTCCTGGTCCAGAGACCCGAGGTTCTTTCCTGTGACATTTCTTTTTAAAAAATACGCTTTTATTGATTTTTAGAGAGAAAGATGAAGGGAGAGGGATAGAGAGATGGAAAGATGGATGAGAAACATTATCAATAGGCTATCTCCTGCACGCCCCCTAGTGGGGATAGAGTCTGAAACCAGGCATGTGCCGTGACTCAGATTCTAACCTGTGACCTCTTGATTCCTGGGTCGAAGCTCAACTTCTGAGCCACACTGGCCAGGCCTAGCTGTGGCATTTCTGAAGGTGACGCCTATGGTGAGGTTCCGTGGGACATCTGGGATAGAAAAATATGGCCCCAGTTCAGAGGGGAGGAATGGGGTGGAAGACACCCCTAACACCAACGATGGGCGGTGGAAATCAGAAAGGTGGGAGTGCTGTCCTTCTGGCCCTCTCCCCACCTACATGCAGATCCCACCACCCAACATGCATGAGTGTTCTCAGGTTAGCTCAGCCTCCTACACACACACACATACACACACACACACACCACCCACCCACCCACCCACACACTTGCCCGTGCCATTACCCACTCAGACTGAGCCACCCCTGAAACACTCACAGGAGACATTGAGCTGGATGGTTCTCTGTGTGGTCAACTGAGGCCATTCCAGTTTCACCTGACAGGTGAGGTTGGTGCCATGGTCCCCGGGCCTTGGGATGAAGGTGAGCACTGAGGAGCTGAGGTTCCGGGGGTCCAGCGAGTCCACAGCCGCTCCCGCCCAGGATAAGGTGAGAGGTCGTCCCCCTTCACAGGCCCCTGGCAGGCTGCAGGCCAGCTGTGTGGGACGGCCAGACTCCAGGGGCTCCCTTATCTGGATGTGGGGTTTCTCTGTCAGGGCTGAGGGAGGAGAAAGACAGGTGCCTGAACGCCTGGTTTAGGACTCAGAGTGGGACCCTGAAAGGCCCTGCCAGAACTCACCAAGGCCCTGTCTCTTCTGACCACCCAGGGCCCAAGGCCTGGATCAGGGAGTGTCCCAGTGTCTGGTTCCTGTTCCAAGACCGAGTTCCACATCTCAGAGTTCTCTCCGGGGCCCCTGCCTTACCTGTCACCTGCAATTTAAGCATCTTCTCTTGGTAACTATATTTCACACTTCCTCTTTCCATTCGGAACATGTATGTTCCTGTGTCACTTCTCTGGGAGTCTCTGATCTGCAGGGAACAGTTGTTGTTCGTGGTGTCCATGAGGAGGAAACGGCCTTGGGTTGCTGTCTTTGCTGGTCTATTTGGGTCCTTTGAGGCCACAGGTGAATCGTACCATACGCTGTCTTCTTTTGAGAACCAGTAGGTGTAGAGTTCAGTAGAGGAAGACGATGAACTCCAGGGGTAGGAGAAGGAGCAGGGCACGTGGACACACAGACCCTCCTGCACCGTCACAGACTCCTGCACTTGGAGCTCAAAGCCTGGCTGCTCCTCCAGAGATCCTGGGAGGGGGACACAGAGGCTCAGAAACAGCCCCATCCCCCTCCCACTGCCCCATCCCCCATCCCCTGGCCCACTCACCACCCCACAGCAGGAACAGCAGGAACAACAGGGGCACCATGTCTGCCTCTCCCAGTACAGAGCAGATCCTGCTCCCTATGTCAGGGAGGGAAGTGTCAGCTCTGGGGTGGAGCTGAGGACACCCCAACAGGAAGCCCAGGGGGAGAGACTATAGACAGTCCTGGAAACGGAACTTGGCCTCTCAGGAGTTGGGGGGGTGGGAGAGATGTGGTGTCTGAGAAATTTTCCTATCTCATCTCCTCTCTCCTGACCCTGCAGGTAAATATACTGAGGCCCCTGGAGGTTGAGAGTCATGTCCAGGTGTGAACCTGAAGGTGACCACCTTACAGATGAGGTGAAAGTGGAGAGGGTGGTCCCCCAGGGGGCCACTATGGTCATCACTGGTCCTGGTGATTCAAGGGGATCCATCCTCCAGCTGAAACCATTTTTCAAAAGGGTAATTTTGAAATTTATTCACATCACTCAAATGCTGGAAAGAAAAGAAGGAATTTAGACCTTCTCTTTAATTTTTTTTTATTTGTGATTTTTATTTTTTTAAAGTATTATTATTTTTAATATATATTATTGATTTTTTACAGAGAGGAAGAGAGAGAGATAGAGAGTTAGAAACACCAATGAGAGAGAATCATCGATCAGCTGCCTCTTGCACACCCCCTACTGGGGATGTGCCCGCAACCAAGGTACATGCTCTTGACAGGAATCGAACCGAGGACCTTTTAGTCCGCAGGCCGAAGCTCTATCCACTGAGCCAAATCGGTTTTGGAAATCTTTTTTTCTTTTTTTTTTTTTAAACTTAGTTAGGGAGGGTGGAACCTTGGGGAAAAACTGACGCCTTTCTAGGCGCATGGGAAGCACATGTGTGGGTCTCCCAGGGTGTAAGGGACAGCGATAGCACACAGACCCCCTCAGAACGAGATGTGTGAAGGCAGATCGCGCCACTTCAGGGGAACCTCAGAGGTTGGACCTCCCCACGACAGCAAATTTGCCACCTTACAGCTCAGGAAGCTACACCTTCAGGGCCCCTCTACGGGCTCAGTCCCTTTTCATAGCCCAGCAGCGGCTCAGATGATGTGTGGACATGACCTGTGCCCTACTGCTCTTTTATGAAAGAAAGAAACTTGATCAATGTTTTCCCAAATATGACAGCGATGTGAAATACTTCAGACATTCGCAGTAACAAGTTGTGCGACTGAAATAAGTCCCTTAAATCTTAGAGTAGAAAAAGAAATTTATCTCAACCATGCTGAGGACACAGAATTCTCTTTCTATTCCCTATATGTATAATAACAATTAATAATGTTTCTTAGTATGATATTAACACTTTTTAGTATATAACCGGATTATTGTCCCCATAAAGATTCCATCAAAAGAGTATCAATAAAAAAAATATGGGTAGCATGTTATGCAGGGTATGCTATACTACTAATAAACATGGTCTGGAATTTTTCAGAATTGTTTTATTTTTGTTTTTCAGAACTGTAAGCTTTTGGGACATGATGTGTATTCTCATTTCAGAAAAAGTCACGTGTGCCACATTATGCATTAGTTTTGAAGCAGTGAACTCAACATTTGTACAACTATCGAGCTCCACAAAACCAGGTCTTCCCCGGTCTTGGATGCAGATGAACAAGAGATAATCAGCTCCATCCATCCATATCCCTCACGTATTACAATGCAGATTGGGTAGTGCAAGCAGGGGACCAAAAAAAGCAGGATTTCCATGGTTGTGCCCCACGGTTCCTATAAGTGAACAGTCTAGCACATCTCAAGCTGGGATATAAAAAAGACCAGAAATAATAAGTGTTGGCAAGAATGCTCGGAAAGGGGAACCCTCTCGCCCTGTGGGAATGTAAGGTAGGGCAGCACTATACACTAGTAAATCCGAAGGGCAGTTCCTCAAACACTATAAATAGAGCTGCTGCATGATCCAGCAACACCACTTCTGGGTAATTTCTTGGAAGAAATGAAAATACTAACTTGAAGAGACGTATGTAGTCTCTGGCATCTTCTGCAATAGCCAAGACATGGAAGCAACCTAAGTGCCCATCCATAAACGAGTGGATGAAGAAAATGTGGTACATGTACAATAGAATATTATTCTGTCATAAAGAAGGAAAACTGGTCATTTGCAACAACAGGAATCACCAAAAGGCATTATAAGTGAAGTAAATCAGACAAATACCCTATGATCTCACTTATGTGTGGATAGTTAGAAAAAATCAAACTCATAGATACAGAAAATACTTTGGTGGGTGCCAGAGGCAGAGGGGATTGGGTAGGAAAAGGTCAACATTTTCAGTTATAAAATAATTAATTCATGAGGATATAATACACACCATGGTGACTGTAGCTAATAATAATATGTGTTGATATTATGAACTACTGTAATATAGTTAGTAATAGTGTGATGAATATCTGAAAATTTCTAAGAGAAAAATTGTTACAAGTTCTCATCATATGGACAAAAGTGTGTAACACTATGTGGTGGTGGATATTAACAAGATTTTTAACAGCTTGTGGTGAGCCCTTCACAATTTGGAACTAGCAAAAAGTTGTAGGTCAATTACATTGCAACTATCCTATATAATAAAATCCCAGTGACAGAACAGTGGAATGACCAGAATGACTGTTGGCCCCTCACCATGGCTGTCCCCACCACCCATAACTCCCCATCAGGGTGGGCTGGCTGGACCCCACTAGTGCAGGAATTCATGCACTGGACCTCTAGTATACCTATAAACTCAGGCATGCTTTGATTAGAGTTAGGACATCCAAACTGTGTTCCCTTTCTGCTCCATTGGTGTTCCAACATGGGCATAACAAATTCCTTACATTCAATTCCCAGTGCTGAAATACATAGTGGGGCTTTTGTTGTTTCCTGCTAACCTTTGACTGATTACATCTCAGTAAGTAAAACAATGAGGACTGGGTGATTTCCAATGTCTTCATGATAAAACTCACAGCCCACTACACAGAATTTCTCTAACGAGATAGAGGGTGTATTTAGCAAATACCACACCTAATGCAGTAGCATTGGGTCCTATAAATGCAGTAAAGAATATAGAGAGGGAGGGAGAGGGAGAGAGATTGAGAAACATCAATGAAAGAGAAACATCAATCAACTGTCTCCTGCACATCCCCTACTGGAGATATACCTGCAACCAAGGTACAGGCCCTTGAATGGATTCTACCCTGGGAATCATGAGTCCACAGGCCCACGCTCTATCCACTGAGCCAAACAAGCTAGGGTTATGTTTCTCTTTATAAATAGTGCTATTTATGTCTTGTTCAGGAATCCCTCCCTACCCTAAATTCTTGGAGATATCCCAAGATATTACGTTCTACCAGCTCTACTGTTTTGTCTATGGTAAAACAATAGATCTCCATCTGCCCTGGGTTTCAATGCATCATAGGAGCTAGGGGTGCAATCTCATTCCACTGCATTCGGATTCCTCACTGCCCACACATATTATTGAAAAGCTTATCTTCTCATCACTTCTGTGCATCAGCCCCTCTCTCATGCATGGTGTTTCCTGTGGTTTAGGTCTATGGTGTTTCCAGGTGCTCTGTTCTGTTCCCATGGCCTAATGCTTTAACCCTGTGTTAATACAGCACCACTTGTTTTCTATAACATTTTAATATGTCTTGAGGTCTTATGGAGCCAGTCCTCATACATTGTTCTTTATGATTGCCTTGGCTGAATTGGGAAAATTTACTTCAATATACTAAATTTACAATGGTGGTACCAAGTTTCACAAAGTTACCTGAGATATTAGTGACATGTTGCTTTAACTCTACAGATTAATTTGGGTAGGTTTGACTTTTATAAAATACTAGAGACCTAGGGCATGAATTAGTGCATGGTGGGATCCAGTAGGACCGCCCAAATGGGGGCCTATTGGGGCTGGGCTGGAGGTGGAGAGGGAGTGTGGGAGGTTGGCCCCCTTCAATAAAAAGCTTCCCCATCCAATCAGGATGGGAGGACAATTAGGGGTGGGTATGGGAAGGGGGAGGAGCTATGGGAGTTTGGGGATATCAATCAGGGCCTCCATCAGGTCAGTTGGCCTCTTCAGTGAACCTCATAGCGACTGATCATTCCTGTTGTTCTGGTTGTTCCCACTGTTCTGGTTGCTATGACAACTATATATATATATATATATATATATATATATATATATATATATATATATATATTCTTATTAACATGCATATTGTCATACCCATTAACACGCATATTGTCTATTTATTTGCATCTTTAATGTCTTCCTAAACAGATTTATAATTTCATCCATTAAGAAAGGACATATTGTATTTTTATGTTCATCTCTCTTAGTAATATACTCTTAGAAATTTTCTAATATACAACACAGTAAAATTAAATGCATTATTATAGTTAATACTATTAATTCCCACTATTATTATTATTATTATTATTTTAAAACTTACTTATTTCAAAGAGGAAGTGAGAGGGAGAGATAGAAACATCAGTGATGAGAATCATTGATCGGCTGCCTCCTGCAAGTCCCAATACTGGGGATCGAGGCCACAACCTGGGCATGTGCCCTGACCGGGAATCAAACTATGACCTGCTAGTTCATAAGTTGACACTTGACCAATGAACCACACCAGCAGGTCAGTACCCACTATTATTAACTACAGTTACTGTGCTGTACATCACATCCTCATGATTTAATGATTTTATGGCTGGAAGCTTGTACCATTGACCACGCTCATTCATTTTTCCCACCCCACAGGCTCTGCCTCTGGTAACCATCAATCAGTTCACTGTATCTCTGAGTTTTATTTTTATCAACATTTCTACATATAAGCGAGATCGTACTGTACTTGTCTTTCTCTTTCTGATTTACTTAACTTTATACAATGCCCTCATGATCTAACCATGTTGACCCAAATGGCATGAATTCCTTCTTTTTATAGCACCATACTATTTCACTGTATATATTGCACACTAACTTTGTCCATTCATTGGGTGATGAACATTTAGGCTGCTTCCACATCTTGGCTATTGTAAATGCTGCTGCAAGGAACATAGAGATGCATGTATTTTTTCAAGTTAGTGTTTTTATTTCCTCTAAATAAATACCCAGAAGTGGTGTTACTGGGTCATATGCCAGCTTTATAATTTTTAAGGAACTGCCTACTGATTTACATAGTGGCTGCCCCAATTTACATTCCCAACAGCAATGCAACAGGGTTCCCCTTTCTGAACATTCTTGCCAACACTTATTATTTCTTGTCTGTTTTATATCCCAGCTTGAGATTTTCTAGGCTGCTCAGTGATGTGACTTGTGGGGACACAACCATGGAAATCATGCTTTTCTTTAGTCATCTGCTTGCACTGGGAAAATCTTCATTGCAATACGTGAAGAGTCCAGATAGGTGTGTGTGTGTGTGTGTGTGTGTGTGTGTGTGTGTAGCTGGTTCCCTCCGAGGCAGGTGCAGACCCAGGTTTGTGGAGCCTGATATTGATACAGATGTCAAGATCATTGCTTCAAAAACATACGAAATCTGCTACACATGGATTTTTCTTTTTTTTTCTTTTTCTTTTAAAATATATTTTATTGATTTTTTACAGAGAGAAAGAGAGAGGCATAGAGAGTTAGAAACATCAATGAGAGAGAATCATCGATCAGCTGCCTCTTGCACACCCCCTACTGGGGATATGCCCGCAACCAAGGTACGTGCCCTTGACCGGAATCGAACCTGGGACCTTTCAGTCCCCAGGCCGTTGCTCTATCGACTGAGCCAAACCGGTTTTGGCACACATGGATTTTCCTGACATGAGAAAACATATCACATTAAGTCACAAAGGTGAAAATGTTTAAGCCCAAAATGTAAGACAAATTTTAAAAGTACAGACGATTTTTTTTTTAGTCATGTGACATACCCATCTGGCACCCCAGCATAAGGCATGTTCCCTACAAATTTTTAAAACCTCATTTGAGGATATGTTTTTTGATTTTGGAGAGCTAGGAAGAGGAGAGAGAGAGAGAGAGAGAGAGAGAGAGAGAGAGAGAGGAGAGAGAGAGAGAGAGGGAGAGGGAGAGGGAGAGGAGAGGGAGAGGGAGAGGAGAGGAGAGGGAGAGGGAGAGGAGAGGGAGAGGGAGAGGGAGAGGGAGAGGGAGAGGAGAGGGAGAGGGAGAGGGAGAGGGAGAGGGAGAGGAGAGAGGAGGAGAGAGAGGTGTGTGTGAGAGAGAAACATTAATCCATTGCCTCCTACATGCCCATACAGGGAATGGGACCTGCAACCTCGGTATGTGCCATGACTGGTTATTGAATCCACAGTTTCTGGTGTAAGGGATGACACTCCATCCAACTGAGCCACCTGACCAGGCTCCACTGTTTTTACCTGATACTTTTTGGTTGCCTCTTCATAGGAGATAAATTCTGTCACATAGTAATAAATGCTAATATTATATTAAGTATTAATTACTAGAATCTTATGTTTATACTAGAGGCCTGGTGCACAAAATCGTGCCTGGGCAAGGTCCCTAGGCCTGCCAGGCCATCAGGGCTGATCTGTGGGGTGAGTGGCAGGGCAACCGGGGGTACCTATGCTGGCATCTCCTTTGGCTGGTCTGGCGTCATCCCCTCACCAGCCACGCCCATCAGCATCGCCTCCTGCAGCTGCTGCTGGTTGTCTCCCACTTCCGGCAACCAGCGGAGCACACGAGGCACCCCTGCTGGCGCCCACCTTGGCTGACCTTGGGCCTGCGGGCTGAGGCCATCCCCTGGGTTGGGTGTGTGCCCCTGGTGGTTAGTGTGCATTATAGCAATGGTTGTTTCACCATTCTGCCGGTTTGCATCTTAGGCTTTTATTATACAGGTGCGTGAAATTCATGCATGTGTAGGATCCCTAGGCCTGCCAGGCGATCAGGGCTAATGGGGTCTTTCTTTGTTCAATGCCGCTCCCTGGAAGTAAGCACACATCATAGTGAGTGGTTGAACTCCCAGCCTCCGGATTGAACTTCCAAGGGACATTTTGTATATTAGCCTTTTATATATATATAGATAGATTATATAGAAAATAAAGAGAGACTTCAGTGTCTCTTCAGCACGGATGATTGACCTTTATTTTTCTCGAGTGCAAGTAAAGAAACGTTTCTTTCAATCGCACTTGAGAATGAAGTTTCACATCTCTGTCATATCTGGGAAAACATTGATCAAGTTTCTTCCTTTCATAAAAGAGCAGTGGGATTGCAGGTTATGGCCACCCATCACTCAAGCCCCTGCTGGGCTTTGAAAAGGGGTGGAGCCTGAGAGGGGCCTGAAGGTGAAGCTTCCTGAACCTTAAGTTGGCGAATTTACTGCTGTGCTGAGGCCCTGCATTGAGGTCCCTCCAAATAGGGCGAGATCTCCCTTCACACATCGCCTTCTGAGGGGCCTGTGTTCTGTCACTGTCCCAGGTCCCTCAGGTCCTGAAAGACACACACATGTGTTTCTCATGTCCCCACAAAGCTCTCAGGCCAAAGGGCTTGGATGTTCAAGTTTTTGCTGGGGTTCTACCTCCAACTGGAGTTGAATCTAAATTCCCTTTTCTGTCGCCATTGCTTGATTTGTCTAAAGAAAATTTAGAGTTATCCAGACTGATCAGTTGTTTCTGCTCAAGGGTGGGTCTCCCCCAAGTCCAGCTCTGACCCCAGTGGCCCTCTGGGTGACCTCCCTCTCCACTTACACACCATCTGTAAGGGGATTACTTTCAGATTAACATCTGGGCAGGCCTCTCAACCTCTGGGGGCCTCAGAATATCCTCAGGCAGGGTTGGGTGGGAGGGGCAATGGGGACAGGCTGTTTTCTCAGGCACCACAGCCCCCACATCCTGTGGAGGCCAAGTTCTCCTTCCAGTCTGGCTGCAGTCTTTCTCTCAGGGCTTCCTGTTGGGGTGTCCTAAGCACCACCCCAGGGCTGGGCATTTCCCTCGCTGACACAGGGACCTGGACCTGCCCGGCCAGAGGCAGACATGGTGCCCCTGCTGCTGGTGCTGCTCCTACTCCTGTGGCAGGGTGAGTCGGCTGAGAGAGGTGGGGTTGGCCAGTGGGGGATCAGTGGGAGCTGCCACTGAACCTCTGTCTCCCTCCACCAGGGTCCCTGCAGCATCAGGCACGCTATGAGCTCCAAATGCAGGAATCGGTGACCGTGTTTGAGGGTCTGTGTGTCCACGTGCCCTGCTCCTTCTCCTACCCGAGGAATTCTTGGTCTCCCTCTGGCAGCCTCTACACCTACTGGTACCGGAATGGAGACAACCAAAAACATGGTGCTCTTGTGGCCTCGAGCAACCCACGTAAACCGGTGAAGGGGGAGACCCAAGGCCGCTTCCTCCTCGCAGTCCCCAAGACCAACAACTGCTCCCTGCAAATCAAAGACGCCAGGAGGAGTGACACAGGACGCTACTACTTTCGAATGGAGAGAGGACACACTGTGAAATTTAGTTACAAAGAGAAGATGCTGGATCTGCAGGTGACAGGTAAGGCAGCGGCCCAGGAGAGGACCCAGGAACATGGGACCCCATCTTAGAGCAGGAACAGGACACTGGGACTCTCCCTGATCCAGGCCTTAGGCCTTGGGTGGTTGGAGGATCACCTCAGGGGCCCTGAGGGACGAGTCCCACTGAGGATCACACTTTGGGTCTCTACTTGCTGAGGCCCAGGCACCTTCCTCTCTCTTCTTCCTCCCTGACAGACAAACCCCACATCCACATTCCGGAGCTGCTGGAGTCTGGCCGCCCCACACAACTGACCTGCAGTCTGCCAGGGGACTGCAAAGGTGGACAACGTTTCACCTTCTCCTGGGCGGGAGCCACTGTGGACTCGCTGAACTTCCAAACCCACCACTCCTCGGTGCTCACCTTCACCCCGAGTCCCCGGGACCATGGCACCAGCCTCACCTGTCAGGTGAAACGGGAAAGGCCTCCGTTGACCTCACAGAGAACCATCCGGCTCAATGTCTCCTGTGAGTGCTAGAGGGATGACTGGGTCCATGGGGACAGTAGAAGCAACATGTGTGTGTGTCTGTCTCTGCGTGTGTGTGTGTGTGTGTGTGTGTGTGTGTGTAGGGGAGCCTGAGGTAACCTGAGAACACTCATGCATGGATCTGCGTGTAGGTGAGGAGTGGGCCAGGAAGAGAGAACCCCTCTTTACTGCTCCCCCCTCCCCACCTTGTGATTGGGGTGACTTCCATCTGAAGTGGGGCCCTGTCTTTCTCTCCCAGATGCTCCTAGGAACCTCACCATAGGCTTCTCCTTTAGAAATGACACAGGTAGGAAAGAACCCCTCCTCTCTGGGCTGGGACCTGCCCGGTGCCCTGGTGGGGCAGAGGGGGGAACAGTAGTTTGATGGGATCAGAATGGGAAGGGCAAGGATAAAAGTCTTTACCCCTGTCCCTTACCTCTGGTGGGTGGGTACCTAACCTGTGTTCCACACACCGCTCTCTCACTTTCCCATCCTCCCCCTCCCCATTTCATTCTCAAAAGCCCTCAAGATTCTGCAAACCACTTCCCTTTCCATCCTGGAGGGAGAGGCACTGAGGCTGCTCTGTGCGGCTGACAGCAACCCCCCTGGGAAGCTGAGCTGGTTTCAGGGATTCTCAGGCCCGAATGCCACCCCCATCTCCACCACGGGGATCCTGGAGCTGCCTCGCGTGGGGCCTGCACAGGAAGGGGAGTTCACCTGCCAAGCTCAGCACCCGCTGGGCTCCCAAAGTGTCTCTCTCAACCTCTCTGTGGTCTGTGAGTAGAGAATGGACTGAGACAGGAGTGTGGGCAGGAGGAGGGCGTACCTGGGAGTAGGTCACCTCGGTGCCAGGACATGTTAGAGGCACTGCTGACCTTTCTCCTCTCTCTCCACAGACCCCCCACAGCTGTTGGGACCCTCCTGCTCCTGGGAGGACCAGGGTCTGCACTGCAGCTGCTCTGCCAGGGCCCTGCCCGCCCCCTCCCTGCGCTGGAAGCTGGGGGCGGGGCTGTTGGAGGGGAATCATGGCAATGGCTCCCACGTGGTCACCTCCAGCTCAGCCGGGCCCTGGACCAACAGCTCCCTGAGCCTCCTTGAGGGGCTCAGTGAGGTACTCAGATTCAGCTGCGAGGCCCGGAATGAGCACGGGGCCCAGAGCGCCTCAGTCCTGCTGCTGCCAGGTCAGGGCCCGCTGGGGGAAGAGGCCACGGTGAAGGAAGTGGGTCAGAGAGAAGGTGGAACTTGTGGAGGAGGCTGGGCGGGCACAGGGGTGAATGCTAGGACAGGGCCAGAATCTCTTCCCTCAACAGAACCCTCAGTTGGTTCTGCAAGGATGTGGGAAGAGTAGACACTGAGTCCTATGAATGGGTGTCTTACACCCCTCTCTTCTGCAGGGAAGACGGTGCTCCAGGCGGGAGTAGTTCCTGCGGCTTTTGGAGGTGCTGGTGCCATGGCCCTGCTGTCCCTATGCTTGTGTCTCATCTGCTTTTGCATGTAAGCCTCTGTGGCTGGGAGGTGCAGAGCTGAGTCCATCCAGAGGGGACTTTTTTAGGAGGGTCCAAGGGGGTAGCAGCTTTATTTAGGTAAAATTTTCATATATTTAAAGTGTACAATTCAATGGCTTTTTGTTCATTCACCCAGCCGTGCACCCATCACCACAGTAAATTTTGAAATGTTTCATTCGCTTGAAATTTTAAAAAAAAATAACAACCAAGGAAATGAAACCCATATCCTGTAATTGTTAGTTTGTTTCTATCCTCACCCAGCCCTAGACAGCCACTGACCTGCTTCCTGTCCAGTCTGGACATCATATATATAATGAAAGGCCAGGGACCATAAGTGTAATGGCCGGAATGACTGCTCGACCAGTTCCCATGAGGTGCATTGACCACCTCTCAGTTGCTGCTCCCCCTTTTATCCTCCCCCCAGCCTGTGAACAGCTGTTGGCAGGGTGCTCCCCACAGAGGGCAGGGCAGCAAGCAACAGTGGGCATATGGGCGAGCATTGCAAGTGGTGGTGAGATACCTGCACACATTTCATGCACTGGGCCTCTAGTTTCATATAACTGAAATCATACAACACGTGGTCCTTTGTAACTGACTTTCATTTATCACAATATTTTTTTTTATTATTATAACTATGGGCCCGTGCACTGGGGGGAGGGGGTCCCTCAGCCTGGCCTGTCTCCTCTCACAGTCTGAGAGCCCTCAGGGAAGCAATCTGACTTCCCTCTGCTGGAGGCAACTGGGCTGATCAGGGGAAAGTGCTGCCCACATCACCCCGCTACTGCTGTCACTGCTGGCCACCATGGCTGAGAGGCCTGAGCCCCGGGCCTCTCATCAGCCAGGCCTCATGGCTCTCAGATCCCCAGCCTCACAGCTGATGGAGCTCATGGCTGCCTGAGCACTGGGCCTCACAGCCACCATGCTGCTGTGGCTTTATCCTGAAGGACGTCTGGAAGATGTCTGGTCTAATTATCATATTATACTCTTATTAGTATAGATGATGATTTTGTTAATCCTCATCCATGAATACTTTTCCATTGAGTTTTAGAGAGAGTGGAAAGGGAGTGGGAGAGAGAGAGGGGGACACACACACACACAGAGAGAAACATCGATGTCAGAGACACATTCAATGGTTCCCTCTCTATGAGCCTTGATCAGAGATGAGAATTGAACCTGCAACCCAGGTGCATGTCTTTGACCAATAATTGATCCTGTGAACTTCAGTGTGCAGGCCAATGCTCTAACCACTGAGAAACCGGCCTGGGACATGACAATTTCAAGGTTCATGTGTTGGCACTAAATTGCTTTTTATTTATAAATAATATTCCATGGTATGGACAGGGCAAATTTTATCTGGCCATTCCTTCATTGATGGACATTTTGGTTGCCTGGACTTTTTGGGTACCATGAATTACACTGATGATGGCTCGAGCACAAGTCTGTGCTTGTGAGAGGGGCCTTGGTGCTGAACATTCAGTCTTGGCCAAGCACCTGGATAATTCAGGAGGATGAGGTCCTCACCTGCATGTCAGGAGTGTCTCTGAGTCTGGCCTCAGGTTCTGGAAGCCTCCATTGTCCATCAGGGAATGGGAACAGAAGCCCACGGGTGCCTGAGCCATTCTAGCTACTGACTTCTTCCCTTAGAGTGAAAGCCCGCAGGAAGCAAGCAGCTGGGAGACCAAAGGTCACGGATGATGAAGACCTGGTCATGGGCACAGTCACCTGGGTGAGTGACATGGGTGTGTTCTCATGGTGTGTAGGGGGGCCTGGGCATTCCCATTTCAAGAGTCCACACTGAGCTTCTCTGCAGTTCCCCACACCCTTTCCTCTGTGGTTGGCTGGACAGGCAGCTGCAAGTTGACTTCCCCTTTATTTCCCATAATCCATGGCCCACCTCCTGCCTCAGCCACACTGACCACTGAGCCCACCTCATCTCTCTGATAGGCCCAGGCTGTCAGAACCACCTCCCCAAAACGTGTACTTTCTACCCATTGTGGGCATGTTTCTTCACCTCCCTTTACAACAGATTCTCTATCTGTAAGTGGGAAAATGAGAGTATCATGCTTACTGGGTTTCTGAGGGAATGAAATATGATTAGTAGGCCTTTGATATGGTCTAACCAACATCTGCAATACTCTAAAAAAAAAGAAAAAGAAAAAACAGGCTTAAGTTGGAAGGAGTATGGTCTTCAAGATGCAAGTCCACCATTCTTCTAGGTTGCAGTGCCTGAATAAGTCTCTTTCATTTCACACCCAAAGAATGAATCCCCCCCAAAAAACAAGCAAAAGAAATCTTTTTAATGAATGAGCAAATAGTCGAGTCTATGAGAAGTGTATGTGCCATAAGAAGATGAATGACCAAACTGTTCCACCAGCCCAACTTTTCTTTGGGACCATGTCTGCCTCATTCCTCTCTGATGCCCTTCCCTCCCCTTCACTCAGGGTTCCAAGAAAATTCTGCAGCCAGATGGGCCCCCAGACCAAGCGTCATCTGCAGAGAAGGGCCCTCTGTCAGGGGAGCAACAGGAGCTCCACTATGCCAACCTCACCTTTGAAGGCATGAAGCCACGGGAGCCCCGGGACCAGGAGGCCACCAGCACCCACGAGTACTCAGAGATCAAGCACACAGGCAAATGAGGACTCGCTCCGAGCTCAGTCCTGGCCAGAGGCACCACAGCCTCTTGAGAAGGGGAAAGAAGTCCAGGACTCATGGCTGAAGCATGAGTAGACCTGTGGCCTGATTAACATGAACAGGTGCATGAGCATCGCCAGGCAGAGCAGAAGTAAGACGGGTGATGGGCCGGCTCTCTCCAGCTCACCTGCACCTGTGTTTCAGGTGAGCTGCACCATGACGTTGTCTCTCACCCTCCTGCTCCCTCCAGAATGTCACTTCCTGGATTCTGACATATTGTCTAAGGTGGTCTGGGTTTGCTAATAAATCCCGTCTTCTCATAGTGCTAAGGGTGGTGTCTTCCGGATTGCACCCCGACTGATGAGCAATGACAAACTACATAGACTGCAATGTAGACCCTGGGTAGTCTCCTCCTCCTCCTCCAGGTGTATTTCCTGTGGCCTGTAGCAGGTGGGTCACTACAATCCCATCAAGGACTGAGGGAATTCAAAACCAGGCTTCTGGCCCTATTGCGGCTCATCTATTTTTTAGTCTTAACTGCGCCTCCGCCTTGGCAAGACCTCTTTTTGGGCCCCATGAGATTCTTCCTTTTTTTCCTTCTTCCACCTTTTTATTGATTTCAGAGAGGAAGGGAGAGGGAGAGATAGAAACATCAATGATGAGAGAGAATCATTGGTCCTATGACTTCTTCGTGCCTCCTACCAGGGACTGAGATTGTAACCTGGTATATGCCCTTGATGTGAATCAAACCTAGGACCCTTCAGTCCTCAATCCCATGCTATATCTGCTGAGCCAAACTGGCTATGCCTCCTTGAGATTCTTGAATGTTCTACCTAGCTTCTCTGTGACTGCTCAGAGTCAGCAGTCTATTTGAATAAAAAGTGGCTCCAAATACTTGTCTCATTGCTTTTGACTTCTTGCTTCTTCCATCTTCACTGTGTGAATTTCCTTTTTGTTGACTCCAAACATTAAAAAAAAATTTATCCATCTTTCCAAGATTCCCCTACCCCCCAACTTGGCCTACCTTGCTCTGTTCTTAAGGACAACTATCTCATGCTGTGGTCCACTAAGGCCACAGAATCATTTCCACACTCTGAATATTTACACTATATGTAGAATAAGTTAAAATTTAGAATTTATTTGCGTGACCTACCAGCTCCAAATACAATTTCTCAACACAACTTCTGCTACTTCTTTTTCACTTCAGCTGATGACATGGACTTGGAATTCTTCCAGACACAGAAAAGGCTTACTGATCATGTTTTGCATTGTGCATAGTTCTGTGACAGTACCAGAAACGGTTTAAAAGCACAATAATAAGGAGGAAGTAAGGGAAGAGGAGGAGTCTGACAGATTTTCTGGAGGGGTGAGAGTAGAGTGTAACAGGTTTTCTGGAGGGGATGAGGGGCAAAGATCCAGTGACCTCTAGAAATGCATGTGTCTGTGTAGCTGTCTCCTCTTCCCTAGGATGAGGGTGATTCCAGGGGGAAACTCAGGAGGAGTTTGGCTGCACCTCTGGCCCAAGGGACAGAATGTCACCAGCCTCATTCCTCAGCCTTACCTCCACAGGAGACAGAGCAAAGCTTGACCTCCAGGGTGCAATCCATCCAGCTGGGGAGCTCTTGTTCAGAGGGTTGGCGCTGTCCGTGGTTCTGGAGCACACCTGGGTTCAGCTCTGCCAAGGATCCCAACTTACAAGGCCATCAGGGCACCTAAGTCCAAGGGGCTTTGGAAAGGCTGTGTTCTTCTTGGGAAGGAAAAGTCAGGAGAAGGGGTGGGAGTGGGCTGGGTTCATCTCTGTGCTTTTCCTCTCATCCCTCTGCTTGCCTTCTTCTTTTGAACTTGTACCAGCAAAATGCTAAGATTCCACTTAGCATTTGCCACCAAAATGTCCCCAAAAGAAGTTCCCCCAATGAACTGATCTATGTCTTAGGGGATCTACCAAGTTTGGCAGGCCACCACTAGGAATTGAAATCTCAGAGTGACGTAAAGAGAAGGATAGTGTTGGGGGAAGGTTAGAGCAATAAAGGAGAAGCAGGGGTCTGGGGAGGAAACTGGGCATGAAGAGGAAGAATGGGCCCTAGCTGGTTTGGCTCAGAGCATCAGCCTGCAGAATGAAGGGTCCCAGGCTTGATTCCAGTCAAGGGCATGTGCCCAGGATGCAGGCTCAATCCCCAGTAGGAGGTGTGCAGGAGACAGCCAATCGATCATTTTCTCTCATCATTGATGTTTCTATCTCTCTCTCCCTCTCCCTTCCTCTCTGAAATCAATATATATATATTTTAAAAAAGAGGAAGAATGGGTAGACACCAGTAATAACAAGAAGAAATATTGATCATATGCATTTATTGCCCAGAGGCTGGAAAGACTGTTAGATGTTTGTATGCTTTCTCACTAGCACCAGCAATATAGGAAATTACCTTCCATAATAAACCCTTTTTTGCGGGAAGTCAAAGCTTTTGAAATATTCATAAATACATTTGAACATTTGCCTCGGCTTTGCACTGTACTAGGTGCAGGAGATTAAAAATGAAGTAAGCTGCCCTGGTCACCCTTGGTTGTTTGGAACATCATCCCCTGTACCAAAAGATTGTGGGTTCGATGCCCAATTACTGAACATACTTAAGTTTCAGGTTTGATCCCAATTTGGACCATGTATGGGAGTATGGGAGGTAACCAATTGATGTTTCTCTATCAGATCTCTCTCTCTCTCTCTCTCTCTCTCTCTCTCTCTCTCTCTGTCTCTCTCTCTTTCTCTCTCTCTTTCTTTCCTCCTCCTCCTTCTCCTCCTCCTCCTCCTCTTCCTTCTCCTTCCCCCCTCCCTCCAAGCCACAGGTATAGTCAGAAAAGCAGAAGAGGAAATTTCCTCATAACCTGTGCCAGGCATGATGGGCCTCAGGGACAGACAAGGGACCAGGATGACTCACCTCAGAGCACAAGGCCCATCCTAAAGCAACCCACAGGAAAGAACTGGGGAAAGGAAGCAACCATTTGCACATTCAAGAAGGGCCACAGAATTCATCCCAGAGAGAGGACTGTGTGTGTGTGTGTGTGTGTGTGTGTGTGTGTGTGTGTGTGCCCGCCTGTGTATATTCCAAATAAGCTAATGACCAAACTTTTGTGGGGGTGAAACTCACATGACATAAAGTTTCAAATGTGAATTTTGGGTGTGTGACCATTGGAGCTGTGTATCACTACACTTCCCTCATCATTTTTTCTAACCCAGGCTTACTATGCTCCTTCACCCTTCCTTCCTTGTCTGTGTAGGAATATGATTTGGGGCTTTGAATATTAATGCACTGATGTACCAAGCAAGACTCCTACAGGCCTAGGGAGTTCTCTTATAGTCCTTTAGGATCATTGATATTGAGTCTTTTTTAATGACTTTGTTGGCCATTTGACATCATCTTTGGAGAAATGTCTATTCAAGGTTTAGCTCATTCTTCCATTGTGCTATTTGGGTTGCTTATGTTGTCTTGTATGAGTTTGTAATGTCTTTCTATTTTTTCCTTATTTTTTCTTGTTATCCTCACCTAATGATATTTTTCCATTGAATTTAGAGGGAGTGGAAGAGAGGGAGGTTTGGGGGAGAGAAAGACTTCCAGCCTCCACGTCTTAGACCAATAAATTCCGGCTATTTATAAACCACCAGCCTATAGTCTTTTGTTAAAATATTTAGATCAGTCTAAGACATCTGACCTTTTATTTCAAATATATTTTTATTGATTTCAGAGAGGAAGGGAGAATGAGAGAGAGATGCAAACATCAATGATGAGAGAGAATCACTGATACAATACCTCAGGCATGCCCCACATTACGAATGGATCTCACAACCAGAAAGGAACCCTGATCCCACAACCAGGTTCATAGGTCGACACTCAAAAACTGAACCATGCCAGCTGGCCATAACCTTTTCTAGTGTTTTTATTCATCAATGGATATTTGGGTTGCTGACAGAGTTTGTAATATATGCTGGATATTAACTCATTAACAGATACAATCTTCTCTCCCATTCTGCAGGTGGCCTCTGGAGTCTGGTGATAGTGTCCCTTTGTGTTAAGGTTTAGAAGTTGGGCGCAGTCCCACTTGCCTATGTTTGCTTTCCTGTTCTGTGCTTTTCATGTAAATATCCAGGAAATCATTGCAAAATCCAATGTCCTGTGATTTTCCCCTATGTTATCATCTAAGATTTCTTAATGTAATATCCTCTATGCTATGGGTATTATATTTAGGTCGGTAATACATGTTGAGTCCATCTTTGCATAGAGGAAAGTGATTTTGTGATAGAAACCTAGAACTGCATGAGAGAAACATAACTGTGAGGATTGTTTTTTAAAGTAGTCATTGTTTTCCTGGAGTATGTTCTCACAGTAGAATCTGAAAAAGCTGAACTCACAGAAATAGAGTAGAATGGTGATGCAAGGGCTGGGGGTGTGGAAATGGGGAGATGTTGGTTAAGGGTAACTTTCAGTTACAAGATAAGTAATTCCTGAGGATGACTGGATAGCATGATGACTACAATTAACAGTATTGTATTATATATCTGAAAGTTGTTATGGTTCTATATCCTACATCATCAGTATTATAACCATAACAATGATTATTATGAGAGGATGGAAATGTTAATGAATTTTTTTGAGGTAATCTCTTCACTATGTAGGTGTATCAAATATGCACATTGCATACTTTACTCTTGTATATATTCTGTTTAAAAATATCTCAATAAATCAGGAAATAAAATAATTGTCTACATCCAAATAATTATTAATGTTCTCTAAAGTTTATTAAACTTATGAATGTAAGACCTATGAACATAATAATACAAAATGGAGAGACAAATTGTCTTAAATATTGCACTTTTTATTATTCATGAATACATATAGCCTTGTGAGGGTGGCTCAGAAGTTGAGTGTCATGTCAACCTAGAAACCAGAAGGTCATTGTTTGATTCCAGGTCAGGTCACATGCTTGGGTGACAGCTTCATCCCTAGTAGTAGGCAGGAGGAAACAGGCAATCCATGACTCTCTCTCATCATTAATATTCCTATCTCTCCCTATCCTTCCAACTACCTCTCACAAATTAATAAAAATATATTTAGAAAATAAGAAAAGATATAAATGCCAATTGACAAATAATGACAAGGAATACCCAAAATCCTTTAATTGAAACACCTTCAACAACCACAACCACCAAGAGAAGAGATCCAGATGTAATTGGACTTCATAAACTCACACCGACACTACAGAGCAGAATCAATGGTCATGTGATATCACAGAAAAGTTTTCATTTATGATTAAATGCTGGGATGTGTCATAATAATTCTGAGGTAGATGTCTATGAGTAGTGAAAGGAGAGGTACTCCTGACTCTACTGTGTATCAACACCTACCAATGGAAGAACAGAAACTCAGTTGGTAACCAGGTAAGTCTTGGGCAAGGGGAGGAAAAGTCTTTTTCTGGACCTGAGAATGGACAGAGAGGAGCAGTAGATTGGGGGATGAGTGGGCAGAACCAACAGAGAGAAAGAAATAGGGGGGAAGGGAACAATTCAAATGGGGGAAGCAGAGGCAGAAAGAAGTGTGTATTACTTGTTTATTTCTGTATTTTATGATGTCTTGAGCTAGTCAACAGCTTAGAAACCAAGGAGACACGGCCTCCCAGGGCCAGCACATTCTCAGAGACAGCAAAGATGCAAACAAACCCACCCTGAGCCCATATCCCCAGATTTCCCAACCTGCCCCAAATCACTCACAACCTGGGACCAGATAAATAGAGACCATACTCACAGGCCCAACTCCCCCAGATTGATACACACCAGATGACCCTAAACTGCTCACTATGCCTGCCTTGTGTTTCCCATGGAAACCCCAATAAAGGTTTTGCTAGGCTGCCTTGCACCTACATCTGCTTCCTGAGGAAATCTGGGATGTCCCAGGCATTGCAGGCCTCTCCTCTCAGGAGATAAAATGAATAAAGGACTTCTCTCCATGGCATTTACTCTTATTTTCCTCACTCAGTCACTTCCACAAGCTGAAACCCCAAGGGTCCATGTGAGACAGTTGATTGAAGAGTTTCCAAGGAGAAGGTGACATTGACATTCCAGGACGGTCCCTCTAGCCAGATGCCCACACCTCAGTCCCATCTTGAGATGAAGGGAGGATCCATCAGGAGCTCTGCATCACGTTCTGGGGGGCTCCACACCTGTGGGGCCAACACCGGTCTCAGCTCAGAGGCTTGGCCACTTTGCTCTAACTTCAGGCAGAGCCAGAGAGCACGGCCCCACCTGGACCTCAGGGCCAATCCCTGAGCTTCCCCAGGAGAGAAAGGTTGCTCACCTGGTGTAGTAGAGCCAGGTGAGCACGTAGGTGAGGAGGAAGCCAGCCCCCATGAGGGACCCTCTGATCAGGGTGATCACCCAGGGCCAGGAGCCCTGCTGCTCCTCTGCCACACATCTGCAAGAGTGCATGCTGCCTGGGGATGAAGGGAGAAGGGTGATGTGCTGTCCGGGTGTCAGTCCACCCACAGCCCCCACACCTGTCCTGCAACTCACTCTGCACATAGAGGCTGAAGGAGACATACTGGGAGCCCAGCGGGTGCTGAGCCCGGCAGGTGAACTCCCCTCCATCTCCAGCCCCCACATGGGGCAGCTCCAGGACTCCGGGAGCCGAGAGCTGGGGCAGGCTCAGGGGTCTCCCCTCCTGGGACCAGCTCAGCATGGCAGGAGGGTTGCTGTCAGCCTCGCAGACCAGGAGCAGGGACTGGCCCTCCAGGACAGACAGGGACGTGTGGTTGCTCACAGTCTTCAGGGCTGGGGAGAGGAACACAGAAGGTGGCTCAAGAGACAGTGACCCTGCTGCTCAGGCCCAGCTCCCAGGACAAAGGGGACTGAGCTGAGGGTGGACAGGAGAGAAGTGGGCAGCCCCTCAGGTGGAGATGCTTCAAGAATGGAGGCAGCCTGGCAGGTGAGAGGAGATGTACAGACACCTGCAAAGTCTCAGAAGGCCCAGAAGCACCAGGCACTTGATGATGGTGGCGAAGAGGCAGAGTCAGAGAGTCTGGTGCCTCGAGGGCCATGCTGAGGGCAGTGGGCTGTGCCCTGGGCTCCCTAGAGAGCAGCAGGGAGCTGTGCAGAGGGAGGCAGAGGGTCGGTGCCCAGACTGGAAAGATCCTGGTGGGCGCCGGGGGTCGAGACCAGAGCAATGATACCAGAGGTGGGGAATCTGAGGAGCAGGCTGAGGCCATGGGGCCCCGGGTCCAGGAAAAGGCTGGAAGGGGTCTGGGGCCCAGGGAAGGCAGAAGAGGGAAGTGATGTGAGAAGTGAGGTTTCCTACAGTTGCTGATGGGGTGCGGCTGGTGAGAGAGGGAGTCATCTAGAGTGAGTCCTGGCCAGTGTCACTCAGTGGTTAGAGAGTTGAGCTGAACACCAAAGTGTTGCAGGTTCAATTCCCAGGAGGGTATGTGCAGGAGGCAACCAAATGATGTGTGTCTGTCAGATCAATGTCTCTCTCTCTCTCTCTCTCTCTCTCTCTCTCTCTCTCTCTCTCTCTCTCTCTCTCTCCTCCTTCTTCTCCCTCCCTCCCTCCAATTATCTCTGAAAATGAATGGAAATATATTCTCTGGTGAAAATTTAAATAAAGAGAGAGAGAGAAAGATTTGAGGCTGGACTAAAGCTGTGGGCAGCATCAGGGATGGTCAGGATGGGACAAGACCCTGGGTGGAGACCTGGGACGCACTGAGCATGCCCAGGAAAGTGGGGAATGGGAACATGGCAGGCTCATGGAGACAATGACGGGATCAGAGATGAAGGAGGACAGGGATCTGAGCAGGGAGGGCAGATGGGAATTCTAGAAAGAGGAATAGGACAAAGCAGAGCCTGGGGTTGTCACTGTGTAGGGACAGGTAGTGAGCAGTGGCCAGGGGTTGGGGGCCGGGACTGGGAGTGCCCCCAGATGGGAGAGATTGTGCAGGTGGGCTGCACAGCCTGCAGGTGAGGTAACTATGCTGAGTGACCCCCTTAAACACGGGGGAGGCCATAAATGGCATGTGGCTTGTGCTTCGCCTCGAGAGAAAGTAAACTCAGACGTGGAAAAGGGAACAGGGAGCAGCCAAAGTCTATGGTGGCACCCTGGGTGTGAGAAGCTGGTGAGGGTACAGGGGACAGACCCACCTTAGGGGGCTGCAGGGCGAGGGAGGAGGGTGTCACCTCCAGGCCCTGAGCCTGAGCTGGCAGAGGCCCCGCCCCCTTCATCCCCAGAGAGGAGGGAATGGCTCCTACCTGTGCTGATTCCCTGGGAAAGCCTGATCATCAACACAGGAGCATCTGGGGAGGGAAAATGTGCTGACAGGAGGGGGCATTTGCCCTTTGCTCCCGGGGCCCCAATGTGGGAGGGGGAGGGTTTTACTTCAGCAAAATCCTCTGAGAAAGGGAACCCAGGACTGAACCTCCCTCTGGCCCCCCTGCCCCTTGGGACCCAGACACCCCTCCAAAGCTCACAGGAGACATTGAGCCAGATGGTTGTCTGTGTGGCCACCAAAGATCCTTGGACTTGGACCTGACAGGTGAGGTTGGTGCCATGGTCCCGGGGCCTCGGGGTGAAGGTGAGCACTGAGGAGCTGAGGTTCTGAGAGGCCAACGAGTCCACAGCGGCTCCCGCCCAGGATAAGGTGAGAGGTCGTCCCCCTTTACAGGTCCCTGGCAGGCTGCAGGTGAGCTGTGTGGGGCGGCCGGATTCCAGAGGCTCCGGAATACAGATGTGGGGTTCCTCTGTCAGGGCTGTGGGGGAGATAGGCAGGTGCCTGGGCTCCAAGGGGTGGGGACTCAGAGTGGGGCCTTGAGAGAGGCCCCACCTCGAGCCAGAGCTCACCCCAGACCCCATATCTCTTCCCATCACCCTGGGCCCAAGGCCTGGAGAGGCGTGTCCAGTGTCCTGTTCCTGCCCTAAGACCGAGTCCCATGACCCTGGGTCCTCTCTGGGGCCAAAGCCTTACCTGTCACCTGCAAATCCAGCTTCCTATCTTGGTAACTATAACCTTGGAACACATATGGAGAATATATTATTTCCACTCGGAAGACGTAGTGTCCTGTGTCACTCCTCCTGGCGTCTCTGATTTGCAGGGAACAGTTGTTGGTCGTGGTGTCCGTGAGGAGGAAGCGACCTTTTGTTTCTTCCTCCGGTGGTTTATTCGGGTCGTTTGAGGCCACAAGTTCAGCATAGTTTTCATTGTGCCTGTGCCGGTACCAGTAGGTGTAGAGTTTGCTAGAGGAAGACCATGAACTCCAGGGGAAGGAGAAGGAGCAAGGCACGTGGACACACAGACCCTCCTGCACCGTCACAGAATTCTGCACTCGGAGCTCATAGCCTGGCCGCTCCTGCACAGACCCTGATGAAGGGGGACACAGAGGATCACATGCAGCCCCTGCCCCTCTCCCACCAGCCCAGTCCCCCTCCCTGAGCCCACTCACCCCCCCCACAGCAGGGACAGCAGCAGCAGGGGCACCATGTCTGCCTCTGGCCAGGCAGAGCGGGTCCAAGTCCCTGTGTCAGGGAGGGAAGTGCCCAGCTCTGGGGTGGAGCTCAGGACATCCCAACAGGAAGTCCTGGGAGAGAGACTGTGGCTAGGCTGGAAGGGGAACTTGGCCTCCACAGGACTTGGGGGGTGAGGTGGCTGAGAAATCATCCTATCTGCCCCCCACACACCATCTGACCTGCAGGTAAGTGCATTGAGGTCCCAGGAGGTGGAGTGGCTTGTCCAATGTGAATTTGGAAGTGAACCCCTTACAGAGGAGGTTGAAGAAGAGAAGGTGGTCACCTAGGAGCCAAGTCACTCAGAGCTGGTCCTGGTGACTCAGGGGAACCCACCCTACAGATGAAACTGTTGAACATTCTGGAATAATTTTTAATATTTTTTAGACCAAATGCTGGCAAAGAGAGAGGAATTTAGACCCAAGTGCAGGGGAGGGTAGAACCCAGGGGCAAAGCTGAGTGTTAACAGTCTTTGCTCTGAGGGTTCTTGGGGACATGGGATGCACATGTGTTGGCTTTGAGGGTCTGAGGATCTGAGAGACAGGGAGGGCACTGAGGACCCATCAGGAAAGCACCCCCCCCCCCCATTTGATGGGACCTCAGCACAGCAGCAACGTTGCTCCTGAAAGTTCATGAAAATCCCCATTCCTGGCCCCTCATCACTGGGTGCCTGTTCAGAACCCCACCCTGGCTCATATAAGTGCTTTCTTTCTGCTCCATTTGTGCTCCAACCCAGGCATAACAAACCCTGACATCACATTCCCGCTGCTGGAGCACATAGAGGGGCTTCTGTGTGCCTCCCTGGCCCATGACTGATGGAATCTCAAGAGAGGAACCAATGAGCTTAGAGGGGGGGAAGGGAGAGGAGTGATATCAGGGCCTTCAGGATAACACTCACTGTCAGCTAGGGATGCAGGAGGCTCCCCTGGCGGATAGAGGGTGTGCTCTGCAAGCACCACATCTCACACAGCAGCACCAGGTTCGAGTCCAGCCAGGCAAGCACAATCAGTAAAAGCTATGAAAATTTGAAAGACAATAGCTGACTTTCTTCATCAAGGAGTGTGTCTTTATAGGAAAATCCACAAATACATTCAGATACATGCAGGGGCTTCAGAAGAGAGTCAGCAAGGTTTCCAGGACAAAATCAAAATCGAAAACTCAAATGCACCTGTACAGCACAGTGAATAAGGAAAGACAGGATGGTTAGAAAGATGCCATGGACACATAAAAACTTATGTTCCTGGAATATTCAGAGATGCTCATCACAAAGATATACTGTGCACTTCCTCAGTGGAGGAAAGATAAATCTGTTTGGGAGGACATTACAGGTGGAAATAGATAGCCCTGGCCAATGGTTCCATTGATGGAAGCATCATCCCTACAGCAAATTGGTTGCAGGTTCAATTCCAGGTCAGGGCACATTCCTCCGTTTCCATACCAGCTCAGGATAAGTATTGAGGCCACGAATTTATGTTTGTCCCTCATCTCTCTCTCCCTCTCTCTCTCTCTCTCTCTCTCTCTCTCTCTCTCTCTCTCTCTCTCTCTCTCTCCTCTCTCCTTCCTCTCTGAAAAGCAAAGTAAAATCTAAAGAAAAAAAATAACAAGAACAAAATAGGACCCGATGAATGGATAAATGGAACAAAATGACAGAGCTTGGAGGTTAGGAGTGTAAAGGATGTGAAAAATTCAACCAAGGAATATATATGTATATATATATATGCCTAGTCCGTGGACACAGACAAGAATGTGGTGAATACCTACGGAGATGTGTGAAGGGTGGAGGGAGGCAAAGGGGGGTAAATATAGAAGAGTCAACAATAAAAAATAAAAAATAAATAAAAAAGCATATCCTCAGGTGAGGATTTTTTAAAAAGTAAACAAAGCAGCCCTAGTCAGTTTGGCTTAGTGGATAGAGTGGCGGTCTGTGGACTGAAGGGTTCTGGGTTTGATTCCAGTCAAGGGCACATGCCTGGATTGTGGTCTTGATCCCCAATGGGAGGCTTGTGGGAGGCAGCCAATCAACTATTCTCTCTCATCATTGGTGTTTCTATCTCTTTCTATCTCTCTGTCCCTCTCTCTTTCTCTTTCTCTCTGAAATCAATAAAAATATATTAAAAATTAAATTAAAAAAAATAAGTGAATGGAATAGATTTGACCTGACACTGCCTTCAAGCAAACCAGAACATGCATTTAACATTCTGTAATATTACAAATGATTACACCATATTGAGGGCTTACTAATCACCCAGTGGGTGAAGGAGCTGAAGGTGGTTGGCTGGTCAGCCCCGCCCCCTGCTCAAACTCCTGGTAGAGGGGGAAATTTGCATATTAGCCTTTTATTCTACAGGATGATTTTTTCCCTATACAAACACATGATATAATTTAATGTATAAATTAGAGAAGAGCAATGATAATGAATGATGTAATAGAAGAATTATAACATATATACTGTTCTGAAGGTTATGTAAATGTGGTCTCTCCTCTCAAAATACCTCCTGGGACTGTACTCACCTCCTTCCTGCGCTGGTGTGAGATGACACAGAGTGCCTCCAGGATGGGCTGAAGGCGGTGAATGACGTAGGCTTTGTGATGTAGCCTTTGGTTACTCTCGGGTGACTTTAACACAAGCACCATGGCACCAGGACAGTTGATCTGATAACCGAGATGGCTACTAAGTGACTAACAAGTGGGTAGTGTACACAGCGTGGAGACACTAGACAAAGGAGCCATGTTTCACCTCTCAGTAGAACTGATTAGCACAGCCTAAGATTAACTATAATATTCAGGACTTTGAGAAATTGAAAACTTATTGTTTGTTTCTGAAATGTTTCATTTTTAGACCTGACTATGGGAACAGAAACTGTGGAAATTACAACTGCAGAAAAGGGCTGGGGGAGTCACTGTGAAAAAGCTGTTGGGTTTTTTTTTTTCCTTCAAAGTTCCCTTGTGGTTGTTGATGACGCGTGTCCCATAATCACAGCACAGACCACAAGGGCTGGTCCAGCCACAGCACTGGCCCTGGTGGCCACAAGCAGTAAGCACCCAGGTTCCTGCCCCAGTGATACAAAACAAACACCAAACCCAGATAAGTTATCTCCTCCGTGTTAGAAAGTGGCCCCAAAGAAACAAGTGGACATTTACACTGTGGCACTAGATGGGCATTGGGCCCCCCACATCCACTACACAAACCCCATTCTCAGTGTGGTAGAAGTTGAGTTGTGACTCTTCTTTTGGTAGTAACAGGTGACATCCTTCTATTCTAGACTTTTGCTGGAAATAGCAAAATCCTTGGGAGAGATTGTAAATATAAAAAAATACAACCTGGCCCTAACTGGTTTGGCTTAGTGGTCTGAGAGTTGCCTGGGGACTGAAGGGTTCCAGGTCCAATTCCAGTCAAGGACATGTACCTTGGTTGCAGGCACATTCCCAGTAGGGGGTGTGCAGGAAGCAGCTGATCAATGTTTCTCTTTCATGGATGTTTCTAACTCTCTATCCCTCTTCTGTCCTCTCTGTAAAAAAAATGAATAAAATATATCTTTAAAAACAAAATCCCTTATTATAAATGCACAAAATAAAAGTAAATAAAATTAAATGGAACCTTATTAGGTTAGAATTTAGAAAAAGCTTGAATCCTGAAATTAGGCATAATATCTAAACCAGGAGAAAGAAAAAAAGAAAGAAAGAAAGAAAGAAAGAAAGAAAGAAAGAAAGAAAGAAAGAAAGAAAACATCAAAATTCCCACTTGTATTTGCCCAGACTTATCATAAAAGCTTTGGTTCTCTGGCCTCTTTGACCTGGAAATGAAAGCCAAAGCTGGCTTTGCCCAAGGTGGGGAGGGAGTTTCACAATGAAGTTGTATGAGGATCAGAGTGAGTCAAAGAAAACCAAAGACAAGGAGGAAATCTGAACAGCAACCCGAGAGAAAAAAGACAGATTACATTAAAAAGAAGAGCAGTGTAATTTAATATTAGTAGTGACGATGGAAAGCAGAAGAAAGCAAATACTATCTTGAAATATCACTTTATAATGTATGTTCAGTAGAGATAATTAAACAAATAAGAAAGTAATAGTGATATTGTATTTTGGAACAAGTAACTGGGGCAGTCTAGTGCTAGCCAGAGGGAAAGAGGAATGGGGGCCAGGTATTGGTGAGCAAAAAAGGGGTAAATGGCGATTGAAAGAGACTTTGCTTGTGGTGAAGGTCACACAATGCAGTGTGCAGATGATGTTTTGTGGAGCTGCACACTTGAAACCTGTATGGCTTTACGAACCAATGTCACCCCAATAAATTCAATAGAAATGTGTTAAATAACAAAAATGCAATTTAATAAATTTGAAGATTGGCTTTTCAAAAAGGAAAAAAACACACACCACACCCACATTTAGTCTAGAAAATCAAAGTTTTATTTTTTTAAAATTTTTTAAAAATATTTTTTAATTGATTTTGTACAGAGAGGAAGGGAGAGAGATAGAGAGTTAGAAACATCGATGAGAGAGAGTCATCGATCAGCTGCCTCTTGCACACCTCCTACTGGGGATATGCCCGCAACCAAGGTTCATGCCCTTGACCAGAATCGAACCCGAGACCTTTCAGTCCCCAAGCCGACGCTCTATCCATTGAGCCAAACTGGTTTGGGCTAGAAAAACAAAGTTTTAAAATACCTGACCATAATAATAGCTTAGCCCAAAGTGGTTGTATGGGGGAAATGGATTTTACATTTCCTAATATTTACATATTAACTATGAGCTGTTCTGGAAAATTAATAAACACTAAGGGAAGGAGATCTTAGAAACTACTGACTTCTAGCCTGTTGGTCTGAATCACAGGTGATAACCTGGAGTTGAGATTAGCACCTGACTTGGGATTAAGGAGGAGAGCAGGTTAAGAATTTATCCTTAAACGTGTGGCATCCGATGCTACATTCAGGTAGGTAGTGTCCAAATTGAGTAGTTGAATTGCTTGGTGGTATGGGAGAAATTCCTCATGCCACCCACAATGGAATTGGTCTCAGAACATCAAAATAGTATTTTACATTTATTTTCTTGTGGGAAGTCTTCAAAGTCCAGTGTGTGCTTTACCATTATGACTCATCATCCAGCCCCTTACAGCTCACATCCTAAGCCACTCTTGAAGTGGTCACCTGCCCCAAATGGCCATTGGCTTCCAGGTAGTGTGGCTTTGATCTAGGATGAAGTGTAGGAGAGGAATTGCTGGGTATGGTGTGACTGTCCTCAGTTTAGTAGAAGATGCTAGTTTTCTCTGAAGCACTTTTTACAATTCAACAACCATTGGCCCAACACTGTCACCTACACTGTATGCTTTCAGACACTATAATGTTCGTCTACTTGGAGCTAGTATAATACCATTTTATTGTGGCTTTAATGAGTGCTTTCCTATTGTTAATGATATGAATCTGCTTTTCATTTGTTTACCATCTGGTTTGTTCTCTATCTTTTATGAGGTGCATCTGAAGAGAGCCCGTTTTTCTGTATTTTATTTTCTTATGTATTTGTAGAAATTCTTGTATTCTGGAAACCGACACTTGGATGCTTGCATGTGTTGTAAAATTCTTCTCTCACCTGTTGGGTGATGATTTAACACTACCTATGTGTCTTTTATGAAGAGTCCTGAATTGTAACATAGTACAAATTGCCTATGTTACTCTCTTTAAAAATGTATTTTATTGATTGAAGGGAGAGAGAGAGTTAGAAACATCAATGAAAGAGAAACATCAATCAGCTGTTTCCTGCACACCCCCTACTGGTGATGTACCCCCAACTAAGGTACATGCCCTTGACCGGATTCAAACCTGGGACCCATGAGTCCACAGGCCAACACTCTATCCACTGAGCCAAACCAGCTAGGGCTATTTTTCTCTTTATAAATAGTGCTATTTATGTCTTGTTCAGGAATCCCCTCCTACCTTAAATTCTTGGAGATATTGCAAGATATTACTTTCTAAGAGCTCTACTGTCTTGTCTATGGTAAAACAATAGATCTCCATCTGCCCTGGGTTTCAGTGCATAATAGGAGCTAGGGGTGCAATCTCATTCCACTGCATTCGGGTTCCTCACTGCCCACACATATTATTGAAAAGCTTATCTTCTCATCACTTCTGTGCATCAGCCCCTCTATCATGCATGGCGTTTCCTGTGGTTTAGGTGTATGGTATTTCTAGGTACTCTGTTCTGTTTCCACAGTGTAGTGGTCTAACCCTGTGTCAGCACAGTGATGTCTTGTTTTCTATAACATTTTAATATATCTTCACATCTTATAGAGCCAGTCCTCATACATTGATTGTTTTTCATGATTGCCTTGACTGAATTTGGAAAAATTTACTTCAATATACTAAATTTACAATAGTGGCACCAAGTTCTACAAAAGTCACCTGGGAGGTTGGTGACATGTTCTTTTAACTGCAGATTAATTTGGGTAGGCTAGACTTTTTATACAATACTAGAGGGCCAGTGCATGAAATTCTTGCATGGGTGGGTTCCAGCTGGCCTGCCCTGATGGGGGCTGACCAGGGCCAGGCTGGCAGAGAGAGGGGACATGGGATGTTGGCCACCAGCCCTCTCCCAATTGGTGGGAGGGCTGATTGGGGGCAGGATTGGACAGGAGGACAGGCTCTGGGGGTTGGGGGGGGCAGTTGGCTACTGCAGTGTGCCTCATAGTAAGTAATCATTCTGGTTGTTCTGGTCGCTTCACTGTTTTGGTTGCTTGGCTTTTATATATATATATATAGTTGCCATATCCATTAACATGAATGTTGTCTATTTATTTGCATCTTAATGTCCTCCTAAACAGATTTATAATTTCCTCCATTGAGAAAGGCCATAATATATTTTTATGTACATCTCTAAATACATATATATTTTAAGTATATATAATTTTGATGCTATTGTCAATGGCATCCTATATAATAAAAGCCCAGGGTCCGAATGGTGGAATGACCATAACTACTGGCTGACCAGTTGCTGTGAGGAGCACTGACCACGAGGGGGCAGATACTTAATGCAGGAGCTACTCCCTGGTGGTCAGTATGCTACCATAGTGGGAGCCCCGCTTGGCTGTCCCTGATGAGTGGCTGCTCCTGCTGTAAACCCTGGGATAAGAGGCAGGAATCTGGGCTACAATTGTCACCTCCTTGCCCCAGGCTCCTCACCCTCACTCCCTATTGTCTCCTCTGGATGCCTGAAGGTTTTGCAGAGCTGATTCCAGAGGCTGGGAGGTAGGTGGCCACCCCCGGACTGAGGCCTATTCCACTGTCTCTCAGTGCTATTGTCCAGGGTCCCCACCTGGTCCCCTGGAGAGGGGAGTGCTCTGGCTCCACAGAGGATGCCGGACCAGGGAGCATCTGCTCAGAGGGCAGGTCCACAGCCACTCAAAGGGCGGGTCCACAGCCGCTTGGCTGACTGGGATGAGTGGCACTCCCATAGTGGGCCATCCGCACAGGCCATGCCCCCCCACCATTGCACATGCACTTGGACTCTAGTCTTTTCAAACATTCTAATTTGGATTTATTTCTGTGATATAGGAAAGCACTTTATTTTTGTAATGTGATTTTTTATTTAAATGAATGAATGCAACATTCATTTTCTGTGCGGCTCAGCTCCCAGTCTTCAAGCACTCA